CACACTGTCGCTTAACGTTCATGGTCTCACCCATCGTGACTCACAACGGGGAAAGCTGAAACAGCAGAAAATATCTTGGCCTAATAGAAGCTAACTGTTAGCATTAGCCACTCCACCACACAGCAAAATTCCTCCAGGCTTGTGTCATTTGTGGAGATAAAACATCAACATTGCAAAGTAAACAAAATCAGTGGTAGAGTCGCACTTCTGTTAGCCAGTCAGAGGTGAGATGTCCAAAGATCAGGAAGTAAGACTCCAAATGCTGCCGTCTGAAGCTCTCCTCTGATCTGGCAATCTTCTAGGCCAGGGGTGTCAAACTCAAACTCACACTGTGCCAAAATGAAAATCTGGGACGAAGTCGAGGGCCAAACTTAATATTTTTTGAAAAAGTGACGGCAAATTTGCACATTTTCTTTACCAACATATATGCAATTTTGAACCTTTTAATTTGGAAACAAACTTATTTTTGCATTAACACTGAATGTGGAATAACCAAATGACACACGAGCAAGTCAGTTTTTAAAAAACGCATCGGCGGTATTCATTACTTGTGGTATAATCAGCATTTTTAAAATCTATTCAGGATTTATGTTTTCTTGTTGTTTATTCATTTTTCTTATTTTTTTATTCTCCTTTTTTTCTCCTGTAATAAGTGTCATCGCTGCTGTGACATCTAGCTTTCCCACTGAGGAACAGTAAAGGGAATTTCTATTCTATTCATCTATCTGCAGCCTGTCCACTTCCTGTTTTACTGTAGGTTAAATCTTTTCTCACGGGCCAACAACAAAATAAAAATATTATTTTATCTTAAATGAAAATGCAAAATCTCACCTGTTAACTTTCATGTTTTGGAGCAGAAAAAGAGCATAAAACCAAAATATTTAAAGCTCCGTTTGCTCCACTGATTTACTGTGATGCTCACCTGTTCCAGCCAGATACCTGCATCATGGGGTTGATCTGAGGAGGAGACTCCTGTTGTTTTGTTCATCTTCATCATAATAATGACAACATTAGATAACAGGTGCTCACATAGGTTTGTGCTGTTGAACATGTCTGAGCAGCTTGACCATGTTGTTGTGTGTCGGGGAGGAAAAATAAAAACTACAGCAGCCACAGAGTCATGCTTATTTGGGCGTGTCGCTGCTCGCTGGAGTTATATCAGCTCTGTCTGGACGTTAGTTGGAAAACTTTCTCTTTCAGTCGTGAACACATTACTGAGTGGTTAAAATCTCCGTTTCTGGGCTTCAACGTCGGCAAATAGCTGAGTAAAGTTGGCGCTGAGTGAGAGGAGTGTTTAGTTTGTCTGAGACAGCGGAGACAAAAAAACACAAATGAGGGGGGCGCTTTGGCTCCGTAGTCTTTACGGTAAAATCGGCCAGTGGGTCAGTTTTAATATCTCACGGGCCACATAAAAAATGCTCCACGGGCCTTGTGTCTGACACGTGTTCTAGATCCTGAAAAGGGCGCACCAGGGCTTTTCGTACCCAGAGTACAACTTACTAGGCATCCATTCCTCCGAGAGATCACTGCAAATATATTGATTAAATAAGTGAACCACACCTTTAATTAAACATCTATTATTTCACTATAATTAACTAGCAAAAATACATCAAAACCTGTTAAGAAATTCTGTGTGGTATGGTAGCAGTGGATAATTCAGTGGGGAAAAGCTGTACAATCTCTACATACACAACAATGGGATTTTTGTGAAACCAACCAGTCCCAGATTTAGAGCTCTTTAGCTCAGACAGATTTCATTAAAACACCATTCAGACTTTCACAGAACTGAGCTGATGGCAGTGTGTACACAGTCACTCCCAACACAGTTTCTATACATTAAAGTGACAGTGTGTATATTTCCTGGCGATAGGGGACAGTAGATACCTAAATTGTTGCAAGCAAGCAGTATTTTTACCATACCATACCATACCAACTTTATTAATATAGCGCATTTAAAAATGACATGGCAGCCGACCAAAGTGCTGTACAGAATAAAAAGCAAAAACACAATATAAAAACAAAACACGGTCAACAATAAAATACACAACAAAGCAGATTATCACGGTCAGTAAAAAGACACATGGTAAAATAACAAAAGTCAGGGATTTAAAAATACCTGGTCGTAAAAGTGAGCCTTAAGCAGTGACTTGAAACAGAGGAGGGATGGTGCCTGCCTCACTGAAAGAGGAAGAGCATTCCAGAGTGTCAGAACAGCATAGACAAAAGCACGCTGCCTCCACGTTTTGTATTTCATTGTTGTGTGGCAGTGTGAGCATCCTGTCACAGTGTCCCCATTGATCATGTGCCCTGGCTACTCAGCCAAGGGGATTTCCCTTTGGCTGACTGGTTAGAGCGCATGATTCTCACCCGGGAGTCTGGGGATCGAATCCCGCCCGGGCCCTTGTTTCTCCACCTTGCCACAGTTGGAACGCGAAGCAGCAGGCAATCAGCAGATCTCAACGCCCGGTTTGGCACATAACGAGTCACAAGATCAGACAGGTAATCTGGAGCCAGACCATTCAGGGCCTTAAAAACAAAAATCAGGATTTTAAACTTGACTCTGAAGTTTACGGGTAGCCAGTGGAGCTGCACCAGTACAGGTGTGATATGGTCTCTTCTAGGGGTGTTTGTTAAAAACCTGGCTGCCACGTGCTGTACGACCTGAAGCCTGTTAAGAGCGGAGGCAGGTAAACCAATCAAAATGGAATTTGCATAATCCAGCGGGAGATGATAAAAGCATAAATTACGGATTCCATGTGTGCTCGTTTCAGGATCGGTTTTAAGCTAACTAGTCTGCGCAGCTGGTAGAAACACGATCTGACCACTGCGTTAATCTGAGGGCCCATGGAAAAGTGTGTATCCAGTTTCACCCCCAGGTTGGTAACACACTGCTTGAGGTCATATGGTGTCCAAATTGGAATATAAGTCTGTGGTTTTGTTAGGGGTTATGAAGAGTGCCTCAGACTTAGAATCATTTAGCTTCAGGAAATTGTTGGCAAGCCAAACTCTCACTTCAGCCAAACATTGGTCCAGAAGAGAGAGGGAGCCTGGTTTGTTCAAAGCCAGGTAGATCTGGCAATCATCTGCATAGATATTATAGCCCAGGCCATATTTCCTCAGGATGAAACCCAGGGGGAGGATGTAAATTGAAAAAAAAGAGAGGCCCAAGCACAGATCCCTGCGGGACTCCCCATGGAAGTGGAAGGAATGTTTTGTGTTGGAGTAAGGCCAACAGATGCCCATTAGAGTCAAAAAGCCCTGGGGAGTGCTAAATTTAGCAAAGTAAAAGGCACATTAGACTCACTCTCACCACTGGCAACAAGTGAAGAGGTAAATGTGTAAAACAACAACATTTAAGTATGACAAAAGTTTTGTAACCATTTGTTACAAATCAGTAAAAACATTTGGTTCTCATGGGCTTCTGCAAAAGGAAATATGGCATCTAATATGGCGTCGCCCAGAGACTAAGGGTGTTTTTCAAAGCCAAGGAACCTCGCCTTGATGCCTTGGCCCCGCCCCGGTTGCCTAGGAGATATGTCATCAGGAACCACCAAGACGCGTTCCAATGTTCATGTTCTACCAAGGTGTGTGTTCTCCGTTTATTAGCCGTTTAGCTAGCTGAGCAAGGATACACGGGAGGTGTCCTGTAGCCTAGCCTTGGTCAAAAATTTCCCAGAATACACTGCTGTATTTTCAAAAGGACGGTGGATCAGAAGCTGGCAGCTACTTCAGGGGCAAATTTCAAGTTTAAAATTAAATCAACAAATAAAAAAAAAATTTTTAGATCCAAAGAAGTTATCTATGGTTGGTGAGTTGCTCAGTAGTTGCAGCTTCGGTGGCTAACAGGTAGTAACTCTCTTATATATTTAATTAGATAAACATATACTCAATTTAAAAAGTAAAAGTCTCATTATATATTTATATTGAAACTAATACGCATAAAATATGACGTTATCTCCCTTGTCACGTGATGCATGTCTGTTCCATTTAACTGTTTTCTTTGACCAAGGAAGGACAGTGTCCTCGTAAGCAAGGCGCCTGGCCTCGCAAGACATCGCCTCGTAAGAACAGGTGCCTTGACATTGAGAAACACCCTTAGACCCACTCCCATGTATTTTAGACATGATTTTTATGGTTATATGTTACAAAGCCACCAATAATTTTCAACAACTGGGCATCATTTCATTCTTTTTTAAACAACACTTTGATGGATATGTTCAGAACTTAATGGTTAAAAACTACACATTGCCTCTTTAATGTAAGCATATTATTAAAAGAATAATGTCCTAAATTAGATCAGTGTTCTATAGAAGAAGGTCGATGAATGTTGGATCCTCACTGGCAGTAGTTTAAATAGCATCAGTCAGATCATTTTAGTGCGAATAAAACTAACTGATTATAAAACGAATGGATTTCAGATGCCAATTGTACAGCACTGTGTTTTAGGCAGTTGTGAAAAAAGCTTTAAAAAAAGAATGCTTTCAGAAATATAAATAATGGTTGCTTATTTTCATCCATTTACAAAACACAAAGTGACATACAGCCAAAGTCATTCAGAACGACCTTCAGCATAAAGAAGAAGCAGAAGTCCTGGAAGTGATGGTCTGACCCCCACAGAGCCCTGATCCCAGCATCATGAAGCATGTCTGGGATCACATGAAAAGAGAAGGATGTGAGGAAGCCTACATCCACAGATCTGTAGTTCTCCAGGATGTCTGGAACAACCTACCAGCTAGAAGAACTGATGCTGTTTGGAGGCAAAGGGTGGTCACACCAAATATTTAATTGATCTAGATTTAACTTTTGTTTATTCACTGATTTTTGTTGATTGGTGAAAATAAATGATCAGCACTTCCATTTTTGAAAGAATCCTTTGTTTACAGCCTTTTTCCACACCTACCTAAATCCTTCACAGTACTGCACCTGTTTAAGACTGCTGCAGCGTCTCTTTTAGGTCTGATTCCTGAACTGTTTGGGTTTATCTGCTCTCACACTTGCAGGCCCTGCTCTTCAAGACGTCATCGTGGGCGTGTTGGCCGTCACAGTGGTTGTGGTGGCCACCATCGCATTCATCTTCTACAGGTAGGCCCCGAAACAGACGGTGTTGTGTTCAGGTGAATGAGAAATTAGACCGTTGATCAGTTCTATATTTTTTCATGCCTTTGAGAGCTGGTTAAAGCAATGTAGAAAAAGTCCAAATCCACATGTTGTATTAGACAGAACAGGAAGGATCGGTTACTCAGGAAGCGTTGGTCCCACATCAACCCTGATCTCATCTCCCTGCTGGAGGACAGTGAACTCAACGTCATCTCCCTGAAGGTGATTGCAATGGAGGCCCCTCTGTCAGTCTGATTCAAGAGCAAGTCAACCCCTACCAGAGTCTAACTCCACTCCCACTTCATGTTTGAAAAATGCAACAAATGCTGTTGTCTGGCAGACCGAGAAGGAGGAGCTGCTAACAAATACACACACGCACAGGCTCACAATAGCATTGTGACATCATAATGTACCAGTTTACATCATAGCATACCTCTTAGCCAATATCGGTGGCAGATTTAAATTAAAATACAGTGCAGAGTTTTTACCTGACAACGGCACAACACTGCCAGTTTTAGGCAGAATATTTAAATTTTAACTGAGATGCACTGAAGTGCCAAATTATTGACGACACGTGTCTGCAGCACGATTAGACACTCGTTTATTTTGTTCATCAGCAAAAAAAGGTTTATTTGGGGGTGACTTGCTCTTTCAGTAGCAGCGTCTAACACAACACACTCTGAACTCTGGCATTAATTATGCACTGTTTGTGAATGCACACACATGATGCTACATCTTTAGATAGAAGATGAGAGGGAGAAGGTGAAGTTCAAGGTCCGCCGTGCACTCTACGACAAAAAGGTACTGCAGCTGGATGCAGCTCTTTTTTCTTTAATCGCTGACCTTTCCAAAGAACATGTAAGCTGGTTTTCAGATCGTGAACCTGAAGGAGCTGAAGAACTCTGATGGGAACTTCAACAAAACCCAGAGGATTGAGCTCAACGCTGTAAGATGCACACACACACACACACAGCTGTTCATCCTGATCAAGCAACTCAGAATGCTTTGATGCCCTTTTTATTTTACATTTTATGGCCTCTTTGTTAATATTTACCTTGTTTCTGTTTTCCCGGCAGCTTCTGCACATCGACTATTACAACCTGACAAAGTTTTATGGCACGGTCAAGTTTGACGAGGGAGTGTTTGGAGTGTTTGAGTACGGAGAGCGGGGCTGTCTCAGGGTACGGAGTCATTCTCAGTAATAGATCTCGTGTCGCTGGGCATGTTGACACATCAGTAGGAATCTTAAACTGCAAATCACAGCTTACAAAAACCAGCAGAGCGCACATAGACACAGTTTTATCTCTGACTTTTATTCTAGCATGTGCTGAACGACAAAGTGTCGTACCCGGAGGAGACCTTTATGGACTGGGAGTTCAAAATCTCTGTCATGTATGACATTGCCAAGGTGAGAAGATCGGTGGGATTGTGAAACTCGCAGGACTTTTATTGCCTGCAGTTAAGTTTTCAAAGGAAACATATCTCATAACTCCACAACAGATGAATGATAATGTAACAGCCATAAAGGAGATATATACGGGGCTTACTCAATATCAGCAGTCAAAGGGAAGTCAGCGAGAGTTTAATGAGTAGAGTAAAGCAGTACGGTACAAGCCTGCTTTGGTTCCTTAATCTAGAGAAACTCTATGTTCTATGGTGGAAAACAGAACAGATGTTACAACTCATTCAAGCTTGTTCTTTCAGCTGTTAAGGTCATGATCACTGTATACATATAGGACTGTTTGGCCAGGGGTGTGCAGTGGGGTGGCCAACAAATTTAGCCCCCTTAAACTTATTGCATTACACAGGGGGGTCCGCTGTCCAATTAAAAATGCAAACTTTAAATTATGGTGGTTTTATTTGTTTGTACTACTTAGAAACATCCCTAAAATGGGTAAATTATTAGAAACATGTTTATGGAAATGTTATAATTACCCAGATCCACAGCGCGATGGAGGGATTATATTTCGTCATTGTGCAAACGGGAGCCACACAAAACGGAAGTTACGGTGTAACTATGGTTCTGTGAGTTCCTGGATGACTGCCAGTGGCAGTAAACAGAGTGGATGTATCTCCTCGCGTTCTGCGCAGGTCAAGTACTAATGTAAACAAAGTCATGCACGTGACACGTAGCGCACCTGGTCGCGAGTCTATAAATTACGCGCCGATAGCTACGTTCGGGTCTCCCGGGATCTTCTCGCCCGAGAAGTTCCGAGTGACACCTGTGACTAGCAGTCATCCAGGAACTCACAGAACCATAGTTACACCGTAACTTCCGTTCTGTTTCATTCCCTCCTGACTGCCAGTGGCAGTAAACAGAGTGGATGACTTATGCCAGCAGTGTCGCGAGGAATGTAAAACTTACCCCCACTCAGGAGGTAGCCGCCAGAGGCAGCACCGCCGAAGCGAGCATGGACCAGTGGCCAACGTTGAGGCGGTAAAAGTGTGCAAACGTGCACGGAGTTGCCCAGGACTCCGCCGCACAGACGTCCGCCAGTGGCACGCCTCTCATCGCCGCCCAGGATGTAGTAACACTCCTGGTGGAATGGCACATGATCCCAGGGGGAGCCACTGCACCCACTGCCGCATAAGCCATCGCAATGGCATCCAAGACCCAATGCGACAGCCTCTGCTTCGAAAGAGCTCGACCCCTGTTCACTCCTCTGTGACAGACAAACAGCTGGTTCGACTGCCGGACGGTGTTAGTTGCCACAATATAGAGCTGCAGTACCCGGACCGGGCACAGCAAATTTGCCTGCCGTTGTCCCTCCAAATGAAATGGGGGAGGGAAATATGCCCCCAGCTCGATTGTGGCATTGACGTAGCCAGAGGGCAGAACTTTGAGAAGAAAGGCAACGTTGGGCCACAGCGTCACTCCTGACCCATCTACCTTCCACCGCAGGCAGGCGGGGCTGATGTCCAGTGCGTGCAGCTCACTGACCCGTTTAACCGTTGTCAATGCCAAGAGAAAGGCGGTTTTCATTGACACTACTTCCAACGGGGCGGTAGTCATCGGCTCAAAGGGTGGCCCACACAGGGCCAGCAGGACCAGGGGAAGGTCCCAAGCAGGTGCCGGCCTGCACAAGGGAGGATGCAACCTTCTCACGCCCCACAGAAACTGGGTCACCAAATAGTGAGCCCCAGCGCTCCTGCCATCCACTAAGAGGTGGCTGGCCGAAATAGCCGCCAAGTGTACCATAAGGGTCGAGGCAGCCCGGCCCTTGTCAAACAGGTGCCGGAGGTACCGCAGAACCTCATGCAGGGAACAAGAACCAGGGTCCACGTCCCTGCTGGAACACCAGGTAGAGAACCGCTGCCAACAGCGAGCGTACGTGGCCCTTGTAGATGGAGCCCTGGCACAATCCAGCACCTGCTGGATGGAGGGCTCTAAGCCGACTGGGGGCTGCCTGCACCCCTCAATGGCCACACTGTGAGCGGAAGATGATCTGGGGACGGATGCCAAATCCTCCCCTCCATCTGAGACAGGAGGTCCCATCTCACTGGCAATCGCCACGGCTCTCCGTTCAACAGACTGAGAAGTATTGGAAACCAGACCCTCATGGGCCAGTCTGGCGCCACCAGAAGGACCTCGTGTGATGAGTCCCTTGCCCGATGGAGGGTCGGTAAGATCAACAGGAAAGGCGGGAAAACGTACAGCCGAACCAACGGCCAGGCATTGGCGAGGGCGTCCATCCCCAGCGGAGCATCGGCCTCTGCCAGGGAGAACCACAAGAGGCAATGCATGCTGCTCCTCGAGGCGAACAGATCCACCTGGGCCTCTCCGAACTGATGCCACACCCTCTGCACCACCTGAGGGTGCAACCTCCATTCCCCCGGGAGAAGACCCTGCCGAGACAGGCAATCTGCCACCAAGTTCCTCCACCCCGGAAAGTGCAGTGCCCTGATGGAGGCCAGGCGAGGGTAAGCCCAGGTCAACAGCGTCTGAGCCTCCCTCAACGATCGCAATGACCTGGTGCCCCCCTGATGGATTATGTGGAACACCGCCGAGGTGCTGTCCGTCCGGACGAGCACGTGCTTGCCCCGCAGAAAGGACAAGAAGCGCCTCAGCGCCAAGTAGATGGTCTTCAATTCCAGGACATTGATGTGAAGCCGTGCCTGACGGGGGCTCCACAACCCCCGGACCGACCTGCACTGCCAATGCGCCCCCCACCACCGGGGTGACACATCCGTCGTGACCATCTCCCGTCTGGCGGGGACCGCGCCAAGCTGGACACCAAGACTCAGGTAGGCGACATCGTCCCAACGATGCAAAAGAGCCGCATAGCTGCTCATGACCTCCAGCTCGACCCGTCAGTGACGCCGGGGATCCAGGAGGAAGCAGTTGAACCACTGCTGCAAGGGCCAAAGGTGGAGCAGCCCGAGAGGCACCAGTGCAGAAGCCGAGACCAGCATCCCCAACAGTCGTAGCCACACCTGGACCGGGGGTGTTGCCCCAAGGCAAAAGGCCCGGAGCAAAGACCGAATCCGGATCCTCCTCTGCTCGGTCAGCCTCGCCCGCATGGCCACAGAATCCATGGCAATGCCAATAAAATCCACCCGCTGAGTCGGAGCCAGAGAACTCTTCTGCAGGTTCACCGTCAGCCCCAGCGCCTCGACGTGGGCAAGGACACTAGCCGTGACCAGACCCACTTCACGACACGACGGAGCACAGACGAGCCAGTCATCGAGATATGGCAGGACCTTCAACCCCGCCCGACACAGGGGGCCCAGGGCTGCCTTCAAGCACCGTGTGAAAACTCGTGGGGCGAGAGACAAGCCAAACGGCAGAACCAGAAACTGGTACACCCTCCCGAAGAAAACCGCAGGTACTTCCTGTGTCCCGAATGGATCGGGACATGGAAGTATGCGTCCTTGAGATCTATTGTCGTGAATCACTCCCCTGGACAAACCACCTGAAGGACATTGCGAGTCCGAAGCATGTGGAAGGGCAACACCTTCAGGAACCGATTGAGACCCCTGAGGTCCAGTACCGGCCGCAGGGACCCGTCCTTCTTTGGTACCAAGAAATACGTTGAATAAAAGCCGTCTGCCTGCAAATGTGGCGGAACGACCTCTATGGCCCATTTGTCCAGGAGACCATCTATTTCCTGCATCAGGATGCTGACCCGTGCAGGATCTGTGACCAAAGTCACCCTGACCCCCGAAGAGGGTGGGGGCCGATGGCAGAACTGCAACCTGTAGCCCTGGGACATGGTTCGAACCACCCAAGCATCTCCGCATTGGGCCTCACAGAGGGCCAGGTGCTGTGGTGAAAATCTGCCCGCCGCCAGCTCACGGCCTTAAGACGCCTGTTCGGGGCCCTGGGGGGGGGGGGGGGGGGGGGGGGGGCGGCCCCTGTCCTGCCCTGCCCTGAGGATCCCCGGGGCGGTGCCTGACCTGCCCCCGAGCGTCTCCAAGTCCCTGCCGCGGCCACAGTCTGCTGGGTGACCCCTGCCCCGCTACGCCCACTCCAGGCCTCTGCAGCCTGTCCGGACTGCCACCGACGTTCCAACGCCCTCTCAGCCTCGGGCCCGAACAACTGGCCCAGCACCACGGGCAGTCCGCTCAGGCTCTGTTGGAGGTCATCTAACACCGGGGCCTGCACCAACCAGACCTGACGGCAAGCCACTACCAGTGTGCCCAACAGCCGACCAAGCTCCCTGGACATCAGCCCAAACGCTTGCAGGGCTGCGTCGTTTGTATCGCCCAGTGCCGTCCCCGCTGCGCCCGACTGCAGCATCTGGGACTGGGCTAGCAACAGCACCGACAGCGAATTGCTGGTGTGTGCCATCCTTGCCCCAATGTCGTAAGCCCGGCACAGTAACCTGTCGGTCACCCGACACTGGGTGCTCGGACAGCAGACCCTGTCCCTCAATGCCTCATCCGTGGAGAGCACCAAAGAAGCAACGCAGTGGTCCACCGGGGGCATGTGGTCCAACCCGTAGGTTCCTGCCTCCCGCATCGATGCCAGGGTCCTGGCATCCCTACCGTGGTGGGAGAGCTGCCTCGGGTCCCCCCAGCACCGCTGCAGCTCCTCCACAAAGGCCGGCGATGGTGGGACCTGAAACGGGGGTGCCGCCGGAGCCCGGCGGAAGAAGGGATTCCCCGCCGGACGGGCCACCGGCACGTCGTCCAGTCCAATCCTGGCCAGTGCCACTCACAAAATCGCTCGCAACTGACAGGGGTCCTCCGCCAGCTCCGAGATTGCTGAGCTATGGAGAGACATCCCCGAGCCCCCGTGACCTCCCAGGCCCAGGGGCTCCACTACCAGCCCCTGACCACGACCCGGAGAGGGGTCCTCCTCCCCGAGGGACTGAAACTCGGAATTTGAGGCCCTCATAGAGATCAGGTCATCCGAGCCCCCCTCGTCTGGGGCTCTGGTCAGCAGCAATTTGAGCTGTTCCACTTCCGCCCGCAAAGTGTCCACTTCCTGGCGAGAGGGGTGTGCCACATGCCGCTTCTTGCGCCTCGGGCTGCCGCGTTCCTCAGCCGGTCCATCCCTCCGTCTCCCGGAACACGGATGAGGGATACCAGAGGGCGGCAGGTCTGACTCAAACAGGAGGCACTCTACTTGACGTAGCCTGTCCTCCCGCACCGCCAGCGGCAAAATGCTGCAGTTCATGCATGGGTAAGTCAGCGCCTCTCTGAGATGACCGACGTCCAGACACTTTGGACACAAGTCGTGGCCGTCCTCCACCTGGAGCGGAGCCCCGCATGACGCACACGCCAACATCCCTACCGATGTGGGAGACGCCAGCGACTACACAGGAACTGAGCGAGGATTTCAATGAAAACTGAAGAATGTGATTCAGTCCTGGAGTTGGTAAACAACACACAATGTGTGTGTCGGCTGGGTAATCTGAGCGTGACACCTCCATGGTCAGAACTTCCAGCCCCACTTACCTGAAGTGCTCGCCCCCCCCCCCCCCCCCTTTCCACAGGGGGAAATAGTGACCGCCAGCGAGCCCTATCCAAGCCGGCAGCGGCAGTCCGAAAGGTGCCAGCCGCACCGCCCGCTCTCGGTGACAATCGGCAGATAACCGCATCAATCCACCGCTCCAGAGTGCTCCCCTGAGCGCTCCGACCACCCGGTCTCGGGCAGGATGACGCCAAGTAGTAAGTGTACTCACCTCTAGACCGACAAGATCTGAATCACGGACTTACGGAGCGATTGACCCGCGAAGCACGCCAGGTCAACAGCGAGAAGATCAAAGAGACCCGAACGTAGCTATCGGCGCGTAATTTATAGACTCGCGACCAGGTGCGCTACATGTCACATGCGTGAGTTTGTTTACATTAGTACTCGACCTGCGCAGAGCGCGAGGAGATACATCCACTCTGTTTACTGCCACTGGCAGTCAGGAGGGAACGAAACAGAATCACTCTTGTGGTCACTAAGACTGTGCCCATCATTAACAACTCAAATAAATAGATCCCAGATCATCTGGACTAGGAGGAACAAATATATCCTAAAGCACATTCCATGCCGCGTAGACCTGGCAGACCCAAACGCATAGTGAGGGTCTGCTGGGAACGCCTGGCAGAAGAACCTGTCAAGATGGTCTTCAACTCCCACCTCCGGCAGAGCTTTGACCACGTCCCGAGAGCAGTGGGGGACATTGAGTCCGAGTGGGCCTTGTTCCACTCTGCGATTGTCGAGGCGGCTGTTGCTAGCTGTGGTCGTAAGGTGGCCGGTGCCAGTCGTGGTGGCAACCCCCGTACCCGCTGGTGGACACCAGAGGTTCGGGGAGCCGTCAGGCTGAAGAAGGAGGCCTACAGGGCGTGGCTGGTCTGTGGGTCTCCGGAGGCAGCAGACAGGTACCGGATAGCCAAGCGGGGTGCAGCAGTGGCAGTTGCCGAGGCAAAATCTCGGGCGTGGGAGGAGTTTGGTGAGGCCATGGAGAAAGACTATCGATCGGCTCCAAAGAGGTTCTGGCAAACTGTCCGGCGCCTCAGGAGAGGAAGGCAGCAACTCGCTCACACTGTTTACAGTGGGGATGGGGAGCTGCTGACGTCAACTGAGGCTATAGTCGGACGGTGGAAGGAATACTTTGAGGAGCTCCTCAATCCCACCAATGCGCATTCCGAGGAGGAACCAGAGCTGGGAGGCCTGGGGATGGACTGTCCGATCTCGGGGGCAGAAGTTGCTGAGGTAGTCAAACAACTACACAGCGGCGGAGCCCCGGGGGCGGATGAGGTTCGTCCTGGGTATCTCAAGGCTATGGATGTTGTAGGGCTGTCATGGTTGACACGTCTCTACAACATTGCGTGGTCATCGGGGGCAGTTCCTAGGGAGTGGCAGACCGGGGTGGTGGTCCCCATCTTTAAGAAGGGTGACCTGAGGGTGTGTTCCAACTATAGGGGGATCACACTCCTCAGCCTCCCTGGAAAGGTCTACTCCAAGGTACTGGAGAGGAGGGTCCGATCGATAGTTGAATCTCAGATAGAGGAGGAGCAATGTGGTTTTCGTCCTGGCCGTGGAACTGTGGACCAGCTCTATACCCTTGCAAGGGTGATGGAGGGGGCATGGGAGTTTGCCCAACCAATCCACATGTGCTTTGTGGATTTGGAGAAGGCTTATGACCGTGTCCCCAGGGGCACCCTGTGGGGGACGCTCCAGGAGTATGGGGTGGGTGGCTTTCTGTTAAGGGCCATTCAGTCCCTTTACCAGAGGAGCGTGAGTTTGGTCCGCATAGCCGGTAGTAAGTCGGACCTGTTCCCAGTGAGGGTTGGACTCCGCCAGGGCTGCCCTTTGTCACCGGTTCTGTTCATCACTTTTATGGACAGAATTTCTAGACGCAGCCGTGGTGTGGAGTGTGTCGAGTTTGGTGGCAGGAGAATCTCGTCTCTGCTTTTTGCGGATGATGTGGTCCTCCTAGCTTCATCCAGCTCTGACCTTCAGCTCTTGCTGGGTAGGTTCGCGGCCGAATGTGAAGCGGCTGGGATGAGGATCAGCACCTCCAAATCTGAGACCATGGTTCTCGACCGGAAAAGGGTGGCTTGCCACCTCCGGGTCGGGGGAGAGGTCCTACCTCAAGTGGAGGAGTTTAAGTATCTCGGGGTCTTGTTCACGAGTGAGGGTAGGAGGGATCGGGAGATCGACAGGCGGATTGGTTCGGCATCTGCAGTGATGCGGACGCTGAGCCGATCGGTCGTGGGGAAGAGGGAGCTGAGCCAGAAAGCCAGGCTCTCGATTTACCGGTCGATCTACGTCCCAATCCTCACCTATGGTCATGAGCTTTGGGTAATGACCGAAAGAACGAGATCGCGGATACAAGCGGCCGAAATGAGTTTCCTCCGTAGGGTGGCCGGGCTCAGCCTTAGAGATAGGGTGAGGAGCTCGGACATTCGGGAGGGACTCGGAGTAGAACCGCTGCTCCTCCGGATCGAAAGGAGCCAGTTGAGGTGGTTTGGGCATCTGGTCAGGATGCCTCCTGGACGCCTCCCCGGGGAGGTGTTTCGGGCATGTCCTGCCGGCAGAAGGCCCCCGGGTCGACCCAGGACACGTTGGAGAGGTTACATCTCCAATCTGGTCCGGGAACGCCTTGGGGTCCTGCCGGAGGAGCTGGTGGACAAGGCCGGGGAGAGGACGGCCTGGAGCTCCCTAGTTGGGATGCTGCCCCCGCGACCCGGACCCGGATAAGCGGAGGAAGACGAGACGAGACGAGACATTCCATGTGCACACTTTTTTTAAATCCTACATTTATTGTAATTATTCACTTCTGTGCTGTGCACTTTATTCCACCCCTTATTGTTCTGTGGACAGTTGGTGTAGATGAAACAGGCTTCGGACCTGAGTCATTGCATCTCCCCCAGGCTGCCACTAGATGTCACAGATGTGTGTGTGTGCGTGTGTGTGTGTGTGTGTGTGTGTGTGTGTGTGTGTGTGTGTGTGCGTGTGCGTGTGCGTGTGTTTGACTGTTAGCCAGATATATCATGAATCATGAACCACTTGGTGAGTTTTAATGAAAATGTCATAAAGTAATTATTGGATGTGCGTCTGCAACTGATTATCTTTTGGAGTCAGTCAGCAAACACAGAAATACTGAAAAGTTTTACTGGTAAGCTAAATTGTCCTGTTAGTAACTGGGAGTCTCAGATCCTCGGAGAGCTTACTGATGCTTATTTTGATCTTGTTTTTGCGATCTGCTCCCTGAAGGACTTTCAGGCCTTTTATTGTTTTTAGAAATATTCCTGATGCTCCTTCATTGTAGTGGGTGACTCCTCTTTGCAGGGCATGTCCTACCTCCATGCCAGCAGCATCCAAGTGCACGGCCGCCTCAAGTCCACCAACTGTGTGGTGGACAACCGCATGGTGGTGAAGATCACAGACTTTGGTTGTAATGCGTTTCTCAGCAGCAGCAAAGGTAAAACCACAGGGTGTCTAAAAGCACTCTTCATTCTTTGTGTCCATTTCATCACCTGCATGTTGTCCTCTCAGACCTGTGGACGGCTCCAGAGCACCTGAGGAACCAGGACACTTCTCAGAAGGGAGACGTCTACAGCTTTGCCATCATCTCTCAGGAGATTATTCTCAGAAAGTCCACGTTCTACACCCAGTCCTGCTGTGACCGGTCAGGTAAGACTAACTTTGTCCTCATGCCAGGAAATCCACTGCTGGATGATCTTTTGGTCTAACAGTGATTGTTTCTGAACAGAAAAGTTGTCCAGGGTGATGACGTCCTGTTTGAGGCCTGATCTGAACTTTGAGACAGCTTCAGAAAAAGAATTGGAGGTTATTATTAATGTGTCAACCCGGTGTTTTTGCTAGAACATTGTGTCTGTTATGTTTTTAAAACGTGATGCCTCGGTCGTTCAGGTATACATGATGATAAGAAGCTGTTGGGATGAGGATCCAGAAAAAAGACCTGACTTTAAGAAGGTGGAAAACTGCCTAGGGAAGGCCATCAGGTAACCTCTGACTCTCCACGTTGCTGTCACACATGCACACGAGGCTCTGAAAAAAATACCACGTGTTTTTCTACATGTTTTCAGCAAAATTCATAACCAGGACGAGAGCTACATGGACAACATGATCAGAAGGCTGCAGATGTATTCCAGGAACCTGGAACATCTGGTGGAGGAGAGAACGGCTCTTTACAAAGCAGAGAGGGATCGAGCCGACTGTCTCAACTTCATGTTGCTTCCTGGGTCTGTCCACAAGAACCCTAATCCCGAACACATCGCTGTCTCGTTACTTAATATGAAGTCAGAAATGTTCTGTGAAGTAGTTTAAGAGAAAAAGGAAAACAACTGAAAAACTTTCAGGTGGTTATGTGGAAACGTCTCAGCCTCCCTGGAAAGGTCTATTCCAAGGTACTGGAGAGGAGGGTCCGATCGATAGTTGAATCTCAGATTGAGGAGGAGCAATGTGGTTTTCGTCCTGGCCATGGAACTGTGGACCAGCTCTATACCCTTGCAAGGGTGATGGAGGGGGCATGGGAGTTTGCCCAACCAATCCACGTGTTTTGTGGATTTGGAGACGCTTATGACCGTGTCCCCAGGGGCAACCTGTGGGGGACGCTCCAGGAGTATGGGGTGGGTGGCTTTCTGTTAAGGGCCATTCAGTCCCTTTACCAGAGGAGCGTGAGTTTGGTCTGCATTGCCGGTAGTAAGTCGGACCTGTTCCCGGTGAGGGTTGGACTCCGCCAGGGCTGCCCTTTGTCACCGGTTCTGTTCATTACCTTTATGGACAGAATTTCTAGGTGCAGCCGTGGTGTGGAGTGTGTCGAGTTTGGTGGCAGGAGAATCTCGTCTCTGCTTTTTGCGGATGGTGTGGTCCTCCTAGCTTCATCCAGCTCTGACCTTCAGCTCTTGCTGGGTAGGTTCAGCTGGGATGAGGATCAGCACCTCCAAATCTGAGACCATGGTTCTCTACCGGAAAAGTGTGGCTTGCCAACTCCAGGTCGGGAGAGAGGTCCTACCTCAAGTGGAGGAGTTTAAGTATCTCGGGGTCTTGTTCACGAGTGAGCGTAGGAGGGATCGGGAGACGCTGAGCCGATCTGTCGTGGGGAAGAGGGAGCTGAGCCAGAAAGCCAGACTCTCGATTTACCGGTCGATCTACGTCACAATCCTCACCTATGGTCATGAGCTTTGGGTAATGACCGAAAGAACGAGATCGCGGATACAAGCGGCCAAAATGAGTTTCCTCCGTAGGGTGGCCGGGCTCAGCCTTAGAGATAGGGTGAGGAGCTCGGACATTCGGGAGGGACTCGGAGTAGAACCGCTGCTCCTCCGGATCGAAAGGAGTCAGTTGAGGTAGTTTGGGCATCTGGTCAGGATGCCTCCTGAACGCCTCCCTGGGGAGGTGTTTCGGGCATGTCCTGTCGGCAGGAGGCCCCCGGGCCGACCCAGGACACGTTGGAGAGGTTACATCTCCAATCTGGTCCGGGAACGTCTTGGGGTCCTGCCGGAGGAGCTGGTGGAGGTGGCCGGGGTGAGGACGGTCTAGACCTCCCTATTTGGGATGCTGCCCCCGCGACCCGGACCCGGATAAGCGGAGGAAGACGATGACGACGATGATGTGGAAACGCTATGAACTGTCAGTATCTTACCTGCTCTACTTGGGGAAATAGAGGTTTGTTTTGAACAGATTGATGGGCTAATGGCTAGTCATAGTGCAGCCAGTTGAAAGTAAGATTTCTATTATTTTTAAAGAGCAAGTCACCCCCTTCCAGTGTTTGAATCTACCCACACTACCTGTTTGAAAATGAGCACCGGAGCGAGGTGCTGCCTGGCGGACCCAAAGGGTGGCACTGCGGCAGCGACAGACCTTAAACCCGAAGAAGGCGCTACACTGATGGTTTTAGGCAGTTTAAATAAGATGCACTAAAAGAATGACTACAAATATCTGCAGCCCTATTAGACACTCAATGAAATCATTTGTCAGCAAAACAGTTAATTTGAGGGTGACTTGCTCTTTAAACAACTCTGTTCTCAAAGATTTCATGAGAATTAAAAAGAATAAAAACTGGGCGTTCTATAACATTTCATATTAACACACGTTTGAGAAATAAATTCCAGGATTAAGGTCAGAAATGTGCCAAAAAACAACAAATTATGGTTTCTGAGCCTTTCAAAAGATGAGACTGCAAGAAAAAAAAATCTGTGGACAAAAAGGTCCTCTCTCTTTTTATTTTGTTTTACACATTTTGATTCCTACAAATTTCAAAATTTTAATCCTGGAAAAGTTTTACCTTTTTCTGACAAACGGATGAATTTAAAATGTTAAAGAAAGTCAGAGTTTAAATGGATACTTTGCAACCGTTTCATATTTTTCAATCATTTTCTTGAGCCAGTATGTGCTAAAATTAATTTTAGTTCATGAAAGGCCACTCCAGGCTGCGCAGTGATTAGAGCTGTTGCCTTGCAGCAAGAAGGTTCTGGGTTCGCTTCCCGGCCTGGGATCTTTCTGCATGGAGTTTGCATGTTCTCCCTGTGCATGCGTGGGTTCTCTCCGGGTACTCCGGCTTCCTCCCACAGTCCAATAACATGACTGTTAGGTTAATTGGTCTGTCTAAATTGTCCTTAGGTGTGAGTGTGTGTGCATGATTGTTTGTCCTGTGTGTCTCTGTGTTGCCCTGCGATGGACTGGCTCTCTGTTCAGGAAGTACCCCGCCTGATTGCCCGTTCACCGCTGGAGATAGGCGCTAGCCCCCCCGCGTGGACAACAAAGTGGGTTCAGAAAATGGATGGGTGGATGGATGGAAAGGCCACTCCTCTGTGGCCAGAATACTGCATTTGCAACTTCAGAGTGCCCGTCCAGTCTGTTGGGACTGACTGAGCTGAAAAAACCGGTGCTGTAGTCTGCTTCCAACGCGTTTTAGATCATGAACACAGCTGATTTCATATAAAGTACGAATGAGTGAACCACTCCTGTAGAAACTAATGAAGGCTGGGAGACATTTCAGCTGTTAGATTAAGGTGTTAAAAAGACAAACGCACAGCGAGGAGACGAGTTAAGCTTTTGGTTCTACTAAACAGATACTGGGGGGTGCTAAAACTACCTAGTCCCCCTTTAATTCCAGTTTATTAAGTATTACATTATTGAAATAGTTTCACTTTTGAACTTTTTCACATCAGCAAAGATTAGGATCTTTTTATCAGGCGAGTTTGTGACATTAATCTTGAAACTTTTGTAAATGTTATACTTTTCCCCCCACATAGAGTGGCCATGTTCTCTCCTGTTATGTGTCCATATCTAAAGGCCGGTGGTGAAAAGCCTGAAGGAGACTGGGGTGGTGGAACCAGAGCTGTACGACGAAGTAACGATTTATTTCAGTGACATCGTCGGCTTCACCACTCTGTGCCAGTACAGCACACCGATGGAGGTTGTTGACATGCTGAACGACATCTACAAGGGCTTCGACAGCATCGTCGACCACCATGATGTGTACAAGGTGTGGCACATAAACAAAAATAAATAAATATATAATGACAGACTGATCAATCCATAAATATTAGTTTTGTTTTATTGCCAGGTGGAGACGATAGGCGACGCCTACATGGTTGCCTCTGGTTTGCCAAAGAGAAACGGGAACAGACATGCTGTAGACATCTGTCGCATGGCGCTGGACATCTTAGCCTTCATGGGCACCTTCCAACTGCGACACCTGCCTGGTATACCTGTGTGGATACGCATCGGCGTACACTCAGGTCAGCCATCCCTCTCAAGTGTGCCAGTGCTTCTGCATTGACAGAGACGTTGTGCCCGACATGAGACTCGCTGAACATTTGTGTGCAGGTCCTTGTGCAGCAGGGGTTGTGGGGATGAAGATGCCCAGATACTGTTTATTTGGAGACACCGTCAACACAGCGTCTCGTATGGAGTCCACGGGACACCGTGAGAGAGAAACACTCACACAGATGTTTGACAAGAAAACTGGTTTACACTGATGTAGCTTCTCCTTCTCATTATTCCACATTGGTCTCTTTCTGCAAATTGCTTTAGGGAAATCATGGAGCCCACTCAGGAAACTTCACAAAGAAAATTGAGTAAGGATTACTGGTTGTGTTTGTATCCTTCAGCGCTGCGGATTCACGTCAGCGAGCCCACAATTAACATCCTGCAGAGAACCGACTGCAAGTTTGAGTATGAGATCAGAGGGGAGACGTTTCTGAAGGTGCAAACGAGTTACATGTTGTGTCTGAAGTACCGGTCCAAAGAGTTTGTCATGAAAAGAAATGTGTGTGTGTGGACATTCTCTCAGGGTAAAGGCACAGAGACGACTTACTGGTTGACTGGAGAAACTGGAGAAGACTACGACCTTCCTACTCCACCCACAACGTGAGCAAACAGTTTTAACTACTGATTTTTTTTTTCACTTGAACTTTCACAACATTGTTGACTCTGTAGCCCTTGTTTTGCATGTTCAAGCCTGCTCTATTTTTGCAGAGAGAACTTCCAGCGCCTGCAGCAGGACCTGGCCCACATGATCCTGGCGTGTCTGGAGCGTCGCTCTCGGCTGTCTGTGAGGAGGAAGAAGACACACCCGAGTCACAGACAGGAGGATGATGAAGATCCGGAATCAGGGGTGGAGTCTGAGAGCAGCCACCCAGAGTACCTGCATCTGGCCACTGTGGACAACACCCTCAGCACCTTTCTGTAGCAAACTGCTGAAGAAACAGCATTATGTTCAAATAAAGAAATCAGCAGGAAAAGGGAAGAAAAGAGGAAACTAGTAGGTTGAAAAGCTTTAAAGTGCAAGTGCTGTCTAATGAGATATTTATAATTCATTATACTCATGTGTTTCCCCCTTTATTTAATGTTTCTTATCTCAAGATGCGTTTCTGAAATTTTAAGAGCAGCAATAAAACATTAAGCAGCCAAGCATAAATATTTAATGTATTATGAATTAAAGCAGTAGATTATGTCCATTAATGTAGCACTGGCTGGAAATATTGTGTTGTAAGAAGCTTTCTGCATGACCTCCGTATGGAGGAACAGAGGTTAGTTCTGACTGGACTGATAAGCTAACAGCCAGTCACTGCAGACACAACCAAATGGAAATCCTGTCATCTTAAAACACCCTGATGCAGAGTACTCTGGGAGAAAACAATCATAATCACTGTTATTGAGGTCAATAATGAAATTGTGATTATTTACCACAATGACTCGTCGAGTTGGAAGATCAGGTCTCACATTTTATAGAGCATGCAGGCACTAGTTGAGCTGTTTAGTCTTGAATAAATCTTGTAAAAATACTGCTTATTACTACTGTTTAAAGCAGAGAGGAGCTGCTACAGGAGCCTGGGTGTCCAAGTTAGGTGAAAATGCAGAAGAAAAGGAGCTTTTTATTTCAAAAGCATCCACAAGTACAATCATATGGGAATTTATCACTGAACACAGCACCTGCGTGTGCAGCTGTCATAACCGAAAATAATAGCAGTCTACTTTTTGGTGCGCATCCTACACACCACCAGTGTGTTTTGCCCTCATTCTGTCATCATTTTGACCACAAGTGAACGACTGGTGCAAGCTCAGACTTCATCATTTGGAAGGCAAGGCAGATTAAGAGCGCATTTGTAAAGCAGAATGTGAGTAATCGTTTTTATTGATAAATTTTGAACCCAGATTTGATTAGAATTAACTAGTTAATCTTGAATGCGTCTTAGTGAATGGTACTTTATAAACCTTTAAACTTTATAAAGCAGTAGAGCTAGCTAACACTAGCAGTTCCAGTCCAGTGTTTGATTTATCTGCAGGAAACCTACAATGTGAAACTGATGACGAAGCAGAGGTTTGTAAGATAGCTCTTGCATGAACCACAGGCTGTTGATCACTTTAAAATGGCAGACCTGCTTTGACAGTTTTTCCTCTCAAACTAGCGGTTAGCTCATCAAATAAAAAAAAACGTATTTCTCCAAACTGCCTTCATTCGAATAGCCATCTACAGGCAAGACACTCGCTGTTCATAACCCCTCTACAGAATCCCACTCATCTTTCTTACACATTTGCCCTTTTTGTGTATTTCTTTAGTTTATATATATATATATATTTTGCTTTATTTTTATTTATTTTTCCCATTTGGGGGAAAATTAACAAAAAAAATCAGACATTTGAAACTATTTTACATCAAAAGAATTTTTATTTTTATAGACAGTGATGCTCATCTACAGTAGATCATAATAAAAAACACGAATCATGTCATGTTGTAGTGTGTTGCTTGGGTCCTGCTGAAATTCTATGACATCAAAAGACACAAAGCGAATCTGGAAGCCGGTGCAAGTGTTACATTTCATGTGTCACATATTTTTTTATGGCTACAGAGAACAGTAGAAACTAAACGGCAGATAAAAAGTTCAGCCTCAGAGACAGAATGTCCTCTACCCAGATCAGTCTGGTACGTGTTTGTTGTTTTTTTTTTGCATGGAATAACAGAAGAGCACAGCCAGGTAGACCTTTGTGCATTAAGTGAAAACACGCAACAATACAGTAGAAATCATAAAACATACAAGTGTGAATCCAGCAAACCTGATGGAGCAACTGTTAATGCAGAAGGTGGTTTATAAAACTTTTAGAAACAAACAGCATTTGTGTGATTTTTTTCTAATTACTGATCATTAAAAAATATGTCATCCTGCCATACAAATAAAAACGCCCAAAGTTGTCAAAAAGGAATCTTGAAAATAAATAAAATGTACAAATTAAATAATTTTATACAAAATGGATTTAACCCACAAGCATGAAACAACCTCCCAAATCAAAGTCCATTTTTCATTTCTCTTCTCAGAGCAAAAGCACAGGAACTAAACCAACCCGTGTGACATCTACTCATGCTGGTCAGGTTTGCTGCTTGAACTCAAGGCACTGAATGACCCAAGTTAAAACAGTGGAAGAACTGTCACCAACAGAACGTGTAGCTCAGCTATTCTAATGTTTGTTACGTTTCTAACGGACAGGAAAAATGGGCGACACACACACACACACACACACACACAGAGACTACAACCACGGTCTGACTCGATTTGTCGCTGTTACCTGATTTTCCTGCCTGTAGCTGCTCGGTTTGTGTAAGCTGTGGTTCAGTCAGCATCCTGAAGTTTAAACAACACCACGCCTCCCTATTTGCTTAAATCTAGAGTTAAGACTGAATCAGCCTCTGAAAGGATCCATCCTCCAGAGCACCAGCCTCTGCTAAGTGAACTACCAACACTAATACTTATTTACATGTCACCATCTGCCGATGTGAATAAAACATCCTGTTATTGTCTAGTTTCAGATTAGTTTCTCCCAGGATTATACAAGTTTTCATCCTGCTAAAATCTTATGAATTTACTGATTGACATCCAAAGTAAAAGATGCCCCATTAGAAATGAGATCTAGTGTATTTTACACGTCTCGTTTTGAATATTTTATTCCTTTAATGACACATCAGCTCTCTGACAAATGCAATCTAAAACTGAGAACCTTACGGATAAAGGTTATTAATGTTGATAGTCTTGTGCTCCTCATTTGTAACATTCTCACTGCTCTTCCCCATGATGGCGGCACACAGCTGGTGAGCCTCCGCCAGTGTAGGTGTGCATCGGTGATCACCGTTGCTCTCTCTGGGTTTGTTCAGTCTTGTTTTTCCTAAATCAACATAAATGAACCAATACTCCCTTCTTCAGTGGCATCTTCCATCAAACCAAAACGGTTCACAAACTTATGAAGGTCTCAGTAAAGATGCATGCACAAATATTAGAGAAATTATTTTTCACATAAGTGTTCAATTATTTATCTTGACTGATTTATTTTTAAGGGTTGGTGTATGAAGTAATGGACCCTCATTTACACAGAGTGCGGAACGGATGCGTGTCAAAATTCGTACAGCTTCCAGAAAGACCAAACATCACTGAGTCCAACCAGAGCACCCACACCGGCCGTGCTGCAGAACTCCAGAAATTTTCCATGGGAAGTCTAATTTTTCCAAACGCCTCATCAGGTTTGTAATAACTATCCGAAACTGACAGGTAAAACCATCGTCTCTTTTGGTGTCACTTCACTCTTCACGTGTATTACCACAGCGGCAGTAGTGGAACCAGCTAGGAAACAGCTGGAGCAAGATGATTTCATAAACGAGAGAAGAAAACTGACTCCAGACCAGATCTGTACCTTGGCTTATCCACCCCTTATTTCAATCACAATGACACGTTTTACCAGCAGAAACATGGATGCACCATGGGCTCCCCAGTATCACCTACTGTTGCCAGCATCTACATGGAGGAAGTGGAAACCAGAGCATTGAACCCCGACAGGGCACAAAACATCAGGTATCAGGACTTTACACTGTGGAGCTAAGAACATTCCCACAAAGACTGGAGGAAAACTAAAGGAAGAGAAACACATCAAGAAAGGTCTCCAAACCCCTAACTGGGCCTTTGTGAAATCAACAAAATGTCTGGAAAAGAATTCACAGCAGCAACTAGTAAAGAAAAGGACAACAGGTGTGAAGGCACCACCATCCCATACGTGGCAGAAGTCTCAGAGAAACTTTGAAGAATCTTCTCCAAACACAACATCCTGGTAAACTTTAAACTCTCAGACAGAAACTGGTCCATCCAAAAGACAAAACACCCAAACAGAAGCTTAGTGGTGTCGTTTATGCAGTCCAATGCAGTGAGGACTGTCCAGATCGTTACATCTGGGGAAACTAAACAACAATTACACAAGAACATGGCCCAACACAGGAAAGCCACCTCCTCAGGTCAAGACTCTGCAGTCCACCTACACCCGAAGGACAAGGGACACACACCTTTGAAGATGAGGAAGTACACATTCTGGACAGAGAAGATAGATAGCTTCTTTTACTCCTCTCTCAAACCATCTATGTCGAATGTGAAAACCCCACTTTAAATGGGGGTGGGGGGCTTAGACTTCCAGCACCGATAATGCAGCTCTGAACCCAATTTCAAAACAGTCTAGGTCACACTCTCTCCAACATCTACGGAAAATTCTATTCAATTCAATTCAAATATACCTTATTAATAATAATCAAGTCATCAAAGAGTGGACAGTCAGTCCAACACAATAGGGCATAATGACTTCAACAAGTCCTCAAGGGGTACGGAGGAGGGGTATTCATAGTCAGTTTCAGCTCATTAAGCAATGCTAGACAGCAGCGGTTTATAAGTTTAACCCTCCCATTAGTCCAGTTGCCTTCATTCAAACCCTTTTGGATTGTCATTAAGTTAAAGAAATTACATGAGCCCGACAGGAAGTGACATGTTTTAGAGAAGTGCATCCGGTATATTTCAAAATAAAACCTGCATTAAAAATTTCTCACCGTTTTTGTTTTATTAGACTTTGCATCATTTTTACAAATTTATCTTTAAACATATTGTGTCACACTTCTAACAATAAAGAATTTCCAGAGACGTTCTGCAGTTGGGGCAGCAGTAGCTCAGGAGATTGAGCGGGTTGTCCAATAGTTGACAGGATTGTAGGATAACTCCCAGCTTCCAGCAAAGAATGCTGCTGTTGTGTTGTAAAGCACCTTGGGGGGTTCTAAGACTCTAGAAGGCACTATATCAAATACAGGCCATCTACTATTTGTTGTAAAAGGTAGTTCATCTGGAAATCATACGGACACCGGACCGCATTCATTCCATGTTTGGTGTAACTGAGGGGTTAGATTAATATCTGGTTTCAGATCAGCACAGGCTGACTACCTAGAAGGAGGTGACAGGGTCATGTTTTGGGCCAGAATCATCCAGAGAGAGCCAGCCAACCCCATTAGGGTCCCTGAAGGTGTGAAAATGACATCTGAAAGGTATGTGGAGTTTTTGACCAAACCCTTTCTTCAACTGTACAAAAACTGATAATATTGCTAAATGAATTTGGAATGAGTTGTAAATGTTCCTGAGAAATACTGAACTTGCATTTCTTAAACAATTAGATGAGATGATCATTAACATTTTGGACTGAGGATTTTACATTTGTGATGGTGAAGAACCCAATCTGGCTCATCGTCGTGAACGTCGTGTACCAGTGTGTCCTTGTGTTATCATGCTAAAAAGTAAATACAACCTCTTTCATTGTTAAAGTTTTATGGATGGAGACATAACAAAGGTGAAACAAGTCGTCTGGTTTTGGTGTTAAAGTCAGATCAGTAAAAACCTCTAATAAAGAAAGTATTTAAAATGTGTTGGACATCTAATTAAATGGAGACACAAATGCAGACAGCAGAGTTTTAACAGGTTGTTGAAACATCTTTCAGGAGAAATGTTGGTCCTTAATAGTGACGTGCGATCAGAGGAGACAGGGGAGGCACTGCCTCCCTCGTCATCGTGACAAGTAAATACTAATAATGGTTTAATATGAAGTCACAGTGTCCACGGCTGCTCTGTACTTTACTTTTCTGTACGATTTAACGTGTTTATGGTCAAAATAGCTGAATTTATCCATTTCCTGATCAAATTTACATGCAGAAGCACGAGGAGAGAGAGACAAGCCTGCCTCTGCTCTCTGAGCTGCCACACACACACACACAATAATGGCAGTTTCCCACCTGGGCCAGCACGGACCACTGGGGCTTGTTCACACACACGTCTCAGGATAGGGCAAAAGACGCGTTGGTGTCTCTCTTTAACAAAGGTGGCCTTGAGCAGTGTGTGTGTGTGTGTGTGTGTGTGTGTGTGTGCTCCTCCCAGCAGTGAGAAAAAGACTGAGAGCTGCAGCAGCTTCGGTCAGACGAGGCGTTTACGTCTCAGCATCCAGAATGATAATGAATTGCACACGAAGAAAGCCCCCGCTGGTTGATTCTATCCACCAATCGCAGGCTCTTCCTAACAGTAGGCGAGTATTTGAGCCAGCCAATCAGTCGTAGTGGGTGTATTGGCCTGGACCACCAGAGGATATGTGTAGGATAGGGAAAATTACCAAGTCACTCAGGTAATGGGTGTGTGTGTGTGTGTGTGTGTGTGTGTGTTGGGGGGGGGGGCAGGCCAGGCCAAACCCTGCCTCACTGATAGTGGCAGTGCTGAGCTCCATAGACACCGGTGCAAACTGGCTGCTAGTATGCACACAGGGCAGGGGAGTGGAGCCAACAGGTCAGCAAGGGTGAAATAGCTTAAATTTGCTCTGACTAAATGGTAGATTTATGGCTCAAAACTAAAGGATTAATTTAAACTGGATATTAGTCAGAATAGGAGATGTTAGAGGATGATTTTTACAGCAGAGTGACCATGGACATGTCAGGTTCTTGGACTTATTAAAGGCGAGATCATACACAATTTTCAAGTGTGATAAAAGAGTTACGCCAACAACAATGAATACATTTTTAGGTCAAATTTGCCCAAATATAAAATATCATTTTACTTTTCTTGTCAGTGTATTATTGAATAGTAAAGTAATTGATTTTTTTATCACAATTGTCTATTTTTTGCTCATTTTAAATATATTTTTTACCATTTTCTAAATTATTTTTTATATTTTTACATTTTTTGTTTTTGTGAAGCGCCTCGTGATTTTATCTTGAGAGGTGCTATAGAAATTATATTTTCTTCTTCTTCTAAATCATAACCAAGAAGTTTTAAAACAATAAAATATTTGATTCAAGGTCAAAATAAAATATAAACTTCTATTTTGTATATTTGTAAGTCTGTCTCCAGAGCAGTCAGCGCTTCCCCAGTCATGAACCTCACCGCACGTCACTGGTAACAAAGTTCACTGTGGATTGAAAACAAAATTGGTTTATTTTGTTGGGGCTTAGCTGCTGTGTTAGGGGTGGTTTCATTTTAACCCAAGCTTCAGCAGTTGGAGAGTTAAAATAATAAACTCTACATAGTTATGAAATTATTTTATTAATAGGTTTTAAAAAGCTCAGTTTTTGGATCCCATCTATTTAGAGATTTTCAGAAATGAGGCCGTAGCAGATTATTCTGTACATCCTGTTATTTAGTGCTTTAATAACTACGATGGAGCTGTTTTTATGGTTTATTTTCCATGTTTGTCCCAATCTTTGTGTTCTGGAATTGCTAGGAAACTGTTAGCAGTGTCACAGAATAACGAGTCTTGGAGAATCTTTATCTAAGCCAGGAAAGCCATTTCTTAGTCTCCCCTTATGTCCCTCATGTGGACGCTTTAGCAAACTAGTGACAGATATCATTATACAAATGTACACAGGGGCGTCAGATTTGAAAAATATCTTAATTCCTGATGAATAAAATCTTCAACCTGAAAGGTTTGGCTTCCCGTTTGCCCTGGCTGGAATGAGTTGTTTTCCAACAACGTCCTCCATCGTGACGGAAGACAACCGACAGATGCCACACGAGGAAATGTCAGGATACAGATGCTGCACAGCAACAGGATCTCTTCACACCATCTGCCTAATCATAGTGACACAGCATCAGCCCCACACGGGGTCAGAGCACCTTGGGCTGCTGAACGGATCTTTGGTTAGACTTTACTAAGCTCCACTTGGTAGCACACAGAAAATGAAAACGTCTCTGGGAATGATTCTGGGTGGTGTTGCTGAGACTGGCCACTATGCCTTCTTGTCTTGTGGAAATCCTAATTGACACCTCATCAATAAACTATACATTTTGATGACAGCTCAGTGATGCGACACAGAGATATACAACAAGTAGACAATGCCACCAGTCTAGAAAAATAATAGACCTGATATCTCTACATCCGAGATCCATGGATCTGGAACAGCTGTGAACAGAATGAAGAATCCAGTTTAGACCAGTAGTAATAAAACCATCAACACTGTTGACCTGACACAAAATCAGCTGTGATGCGTCTGCCATGACTGAGATGACTGTGATGAATATGTTGAGAGAATGAGAGTAAATCACTAAGCTGACATCAAGACTGACACCAACAGGTAAGATGTGTGTGTGTAACTGTTGTGATGTTGAGATTAATGTGTAAGATGTTCCTTTAACTCCGTATGTGTAGAAACTGATCTGCTGCACTCAAGAGACAGAAGCACTCCATGTCACAGCACAGGTAACGGGAGCCTGTGGAGATCTGCAGTTTAATCAATATTTGAAAGAGCTCTTACGCAACAAACTGACAACAAGAACCTGAGGTAACAGAAGACATCCCTTGTTGTGTCTCCTGCTGATGTTCGGAGGGATAAACAGCACTCAAACGCTAAGTCTCTCTGCTACAGCTCAACAACAACATACACCACCATGAGGATATTGGGTCCAACCCCCACCAGTTAGATACTGACTGTAGTACATCATTGCAATAGGGTGGGGGTTGGATGTTGAATGTTTGTCGTTAGATACTTCAGCCAGTATCCAACTGGGCCGAGAATATTCCACTGATCTCCAAACATGAGAGGGTTGTCTCCTGCTCAGACGGAGTTTCAGGTTGCTTGAACTTCGAACGTGCAAAACATTTGCAAAACAAATGCTCTTTCAAAGCAGCTGCAGAGTAATTTTATATTAAAGGTGCAATATGTGATGTTTTTCTTGCTGTTCAAGCATGCTGCAAATTGAATAAAAGAATAAAACCTTTCATTTTCATTTCAAATACTTCAATGACCTGTACCAAATTTCTGAATCTGGCTCCCCACGTTGGCCTTCTGTTCAAGTCTGAACAGCTCAGTCCCCTGAATGTTTATGTAGACAGATACTCTGTCCCACCCACTGATGAAATAACCTGGTCCTTCAGGATATTCAGGTAGTCAGCTGACCTCATTCTTGGAGCACATCCTGTTGCTGAACTTAGACCTCTTAGATATAAACACTAGATGGCTCGTCCCCGCTGTTCGCCAATGGGATGTGACGTAGGCCATCTTACCTCAGACAGCTGCCCCCTTTCTTGACATTGGGGTGTTTGGTGCATGTACTATTTAAACAACTCTAACTTGCTCAATTTTCAACTGATTTTCAAAAGGTTTGATTTGTTATAAACGCCAGAGATGTGTCTATGAAATAGGATGGGTTTGGCCCAGAAATTCTTGTTATTTCATCTAGTGTTTATATACATATCTATGCTAGACCTGACCAACTGCAGCAACCCCAGATCATAGCACTGCCCCCACAGGCTTGTACAGTAGGCACTAGGCATGATGGGTGCATCACTTCATCTGACTCTCCTCTTACCCTGATGCGCCATCAGTCTGGACCAGGGTCCATCTGGACTCAGACCAGTTTTTAATAATGTGTTGGACAGTTCAGATTCAGTTGTTTCTACAATCTCCTTAGATGTTTTCTCTGCTTGATGCCAAAGATCTGACCCTTCTCACACAGACTAACATCTTTTCCACAACCACCAGATGTGTCTTTGCACATGGTTGTTTAAGAAGCAAGAAGCAGCTCATTAAACCAGTTGGGGTTCCATAACTTGTTGCAGCTGAAAGATGAACAGCATGCAGTAATTGTCTAATAAGAGGCTCCTGTTTGTTCAGTTAAATCCGGGTGGAGACTTTTTAATGGCGTATGTGATTCTATGTACTTAGGTGTTTCTCTTGTACCTCTGCTGCCCCCCCCCCCCCCCCCTTCCGAACAGGACATTCTGTTTGTGACACTAGGCAGTAGGGGTGTAACGGTACGCTAAAATCGTATTCGGTTCAGTGTTTTAACGAGCTCAGTTCGATAAATTGTTGGTATATTATTATTATATTTATTTATTATCTGAAGCGGCTCCTATGCTGAGCAGAACCAGGTGTCATCACAGGCTGCTGATCTAGCATGTCTAATTATTTCACAGGTTATTTGCGCAGCTATGAGTGTCACACTCATACAGACTAGAGTTGTGTTTGACTGTTGATGCTCCGTGTTTTTATTTCTGCAGCGAGCTTTAAAAACTCACCTCACACCGCCCAGAGTTTCTTTTTTACAACTCGTATTGAATAACCAGCTTCCTCCACGCCGTATTTTTGTTGTATGATGAAAACTTTACATCAGTTGTCCCAGGGAGAAGTTCAGCAGACGTGTTTGTTTAGATTTTTGCCGCTGTGTGTCTGCAGTGTGAGAGAAGGGAGGGGCAACGCAACGCTTCGTTCAGGCTCCAGTAGCAGCGACAGCCAGCTGGTTTGATCCACTCTGAAAGGCCTTGATCAGAATTTGCAGATCACATTTTTTAAACAGATACCGGGCGCGTGCAACCATCATGCATCACACAATACAGCGTCTGTGCGGGAACTCGTCTAGGAACTTTTATCTGCTGCACTTAAATCGTGCAAAAAAAAATTCATTATTTAACAGAAAATAAAAACCCAAAATGGTACACCAGTGGACCGCCCCGAAACGGTTCAACACTCCCCGTGAACCGCTACACCCCTACTAGGCAGCTATAAGCTAGCTTCATTTCCTCTTTGGCTGCTTGGCACAGAACCAGCATTACGTGTACAGGTGTGTGCAGCGGGTTGAGACACATTCAGAGGAGCAGTTTGTTGGATGGGTTCTGATCCAATAATTAAGAACAACAAGCTTTTTCCAGGATTGCATGTTTCAAAGATAATTAGGCCCGAGCAGCGAAAGCGCTGCGAAGGCCTCTTGTTTTTGCTCTGTTTATTATTTATTATTCTTAGCCCGCTTTGAACGGCTTTTTGGGAACCTTAACATACCCCAAAACTCACAATATTTTGCACACTTGTCAGGCCTGGTGAAAAATTTGATATTTTAAAGGTCCCAAAAAAATCGCAAAGAAAATGGCTGAACAGCGCCCCCTAGAAAGTGAGAAAAACCCCTCTCCATTAAGCTTAGTTTATCATACAGTTATGAAATTTGGTACACTTGTAGTACTCAACAGTCCGCACAGAAAAGTCTTTTGCAAGCATGGTCAATATCAAACAGGAAGTCGGCCATTTTGAGTTGAAATGGCGATTTTTGGCCGTTTTTGCCGTTTTTAGGGTCAGTTTCTCATTGGATTGCTCGATCATTTTTCGCACGATCGTCTCAAAAATGGTATAAAATTGCTCAGAAGAAATGGCCGAACAAAATGAGACAAGGATTCTGAGTTTTCGTATATGTTGAAGGGGCGGGGCCAGGCCTCGAAGTTTTCTACTCGCCAAAAAAAATTAAAACTGCTATAACTTCATAATTGAATGGAATAGAGTTACCAAACTTTCTGTGGTCATTCGTCATCCACCCACAAAGTAAAATGAATGGTCGGATGATGACATCACATAAGCCCAGCCCCCTCAGGACCAAAAAGGTCAAGTTTAACTATGAAAGGTCCCAAATGGCCCCATTTCACTCAATCCCCACAAATTTGTAGCTGTTAACTCAAGACAAGTGGGGGTTGCTTGGCGTCACTTTATGGGAGTTTTCGACAGAGGGCGGGGCTGTGGCAGCGCGGCGAAGTCAGGCGTACCGCCGTGGCCTTACGTTTGCCTCCCATTTCGTCATTTCTAAAAATATCGTCACGAAACTTCTTGTGAGTGATCCTAGTCCGGCCCCCCAAAAGATCTGATGTGAACATCCGGTGGGCGTGGCCTATTTTCTGAAATAGCGCCCCCTAGGACCATTAAAACTGTCAGCCCCAAGCCATGCTTTGACTGAGGATTACGAAATTTGGTACACTAATGTGGTGTCTCAGGACCTACAAAAAAGTCTCTTGGACCCAAGTGCAAAGTCGTACAGGAAGTCGGCCATTTTGGTCCAAGTACGCGATTTAGTGGTTTTCGCACACGTTGTTTGGAGAGTGATGCTCCGTCGTCCTTTTCACCAATCTCCTTCAAACTTCTGCCATATGCTCTTAAGTCATAGGGGAAAAAATTCAACCGTCGGATTTTTCAAAAGTTGAAAGGTGTGGGCGTGGCTAAGCCTCAAACTTTGACCTGTCGCCACGCCACTCTTTTTTTCACAGCTCCCTACTGGACTCCTTTTACCCAATCACCAGGATTCTGTGGCAAACACCAGTAGACAACTTGAGGTTACTTGGTGTCCAGTACTGGTAGGTTTCGAAAAAAGGCGGGGCTTTGGGAGCATGGCGAAAATCGCCATCACGCCATGGAAATACGTTTGCCTCTCATTTCTTCAGTTATCGTGATATCACTACGAAACTTCTGGTGAGTGATCCTAGTCTGCCCCCAAGAGAAATAGACAGCTGAAGTTTGTGGGCGTGGCCTATTCTCATAAATAGCGCCCCCTAGGACCATTTAAACTAATAGCCCCAAGCCATGGTTTGACTGAGGATTACGAAATTTGGTACACTAATGTGGTGTTTCAGGACCTACAAAAAAGTCTCTTGGACCCAGGCGCAAAGTCGCACAGAAAGTCGGCCATTTTGGTCCAAGTACGCGATTTAGTGGTTTTCGCACACGTTGTTTGGAGAGTGATGCTCCGTCACCCTTTTCACCAATCGCCTTCAAACTTCTGCTATGTTCTCTTAAGACATAGGGGAAAAAATTCAACCGTCGGATTTTTCGAAAGTTGAAAGGTGTGGGCGTGGCTAAGCCTCAAACTTTGACCTGTCGCCGTGCCACTCTTTTTTTCACAGCTCCCTACTGGACAATTTTTACCCAATCAGCAGGAATCTCTGGCAACTGGCAGTAGACAACTTGAGGTCACTTGGTATCCAGTACTGGCAGGTTTCAAAAAAAGGCGGGGCTTTGGGAGCATGGCGAAAATCGCCATCACGCCATGGAAATACGTTTGCCTCTCATTTCTTCAGTTACAGGGATGTCACTACGAAACTTCTGGTGAGTGATCCTAGTCTGACCCCCAAGAGACATAGACAGCTGAAATTTGTGGGCGTGGTCTAATTTCTGAAATAGCGCCCCCTAGGACCATTTAAACTATCAGCCCCAAGCCATGCTTTAACTGAGGATTACGAAATTTGGTACACTAATGTGGTGTCTCAGGACCTACAAAAAAGTCTCTTGGAGCCAAGCGCAAAGTCACACAGGAAGTCGGCCATTTTGGTCCAAGTACGCGATTTAGTGGTTTTCGCACACGTTGTTTGGAGAGTGATGCTCCGTCGCCCTTTTCACCAATCACCTTCAAACTTCTGCTATATACTCTTAAGACATAGGGGAAAAAATTCAACCGTCGGATTTTTCAAAAGTTGAAAGGTGTGGGCGTGGCTAAGCCTCAAACTTTGACCTTTCGCCATTACTTTACTTGACTTAATAACTCCCATGTGCATGATCAGATCTTTTTCAAAATTTGTCTGTGTGATCATTGACCATATGTGTAAAAAATGACAATGTGGACAGCTGACATCACCTAAGCCCCGCCCCCTGACTACAGGAAGTTATTTTTTTATGCTGAAATGCCCATATTTGTCCCCTCTAATTTAGTCAACATGACAACAAGGTCATGCACTGTCTTCATGATGCTTTATTGACCATTCAGATCTGATAGCTTTCCACAAAGGGAGGGGCTTTGATGCCATGGCGATTTCTGGCGTAACGCCGTAACCTTACAATTCAATTTAATGGTGAGCTCAGAGCGGATGCTGAATCAGGGTGAGGTGCGGACTAGGAGGCCATTCGCGGTTTCTGGTGTCGGGGTGGTTGACGTTTCTGTTCTGCGAGACGTGCCCAGGTGCCCCGGGCTGCCGGCCAGGCCCGAGCGGCGCGGAGCCGCGAGGGCCGAACAACGCTGCTTGCAGCTTTAATTCTATTTTTTTTTTGACAAAACATTAAATTTATTGGTTGAGCATCTCAAGCAATATATTGAAAAAAGCTCAAGAAAAACATCTATTATTGCACCTTTATTAATAATAATAATACTAATAATAATATAGTTAATAGCTGAGGGGAACTTGAGTATCATGAGGTGTCTATGGATAAAATGTGTTTTTATTGCAAAATTATTTTGAAAACATTATTACAATATCTAGTTTCTTAAATAAGCAACAGATAAGACTGGGAACTATAATAATTAAGTCCCACATCAAGATGGATTAAAGCTCACTCTGTGCTGTGACATGAAACACTGTGTACACACACGCACGCACGCACACACACACACACACACACACACACACACACACGCACACACGCGCGCACACACTAAGGTCTTCTAGATCTACCCAATAACACATCTTGTGCAGTTCCTCACCCTTTCCTGCCTCTTTCGATACAAAGCATCACTCTCTAAGCCACTCATTCGGTGTAGTTTCTCTCCCTCCCTCCTCATTCTCCTCATCCTCCTCCTCCTTCGCTGCTTCATCCTCTTGCATCTCTGCCGGCTTCATTCAGCACAAAGGAAAGAAGGAAGGAAGGAAGGAGGGAGGGAGACAAAGGAATAAAAAAACAAGACAGAAAATAACAAAGCACGCTGATGAGTGTCAGTGAGATGTTGTGAGATAAATACAAGTAAATGGTGAAAACCCCAGTGAGATGAGCTCTGTGAATGATGGGAGACAATGTGGTTGAAGAAATGACATTTGGAGCTTTTGGTGGAGATCTAAGCACTTGAGTGAGAGGAGGCTGTTCACACACAGAACAGGGACATGATTAACCCTCTGGGGTCCACGGACGCGTATCCGCGTCTTTAGATCAGGTCTGATTTGGGTCGCTGTAGCAGCAAGACTCCGCCTCCCTGAGTTTTGGTTTCAATTCAGCTTTAAAAAGGAGATTATAAACTACACCCCAGTTTTTAAATTGTGTTAATAGGCAACGTAAAAGTGGAGTTATACTAAACTAAAAAAACGACCTATTTTTAGACTATCTGACAACTTGTCAAAACAGCAGTTTAGTAATCCGTGAGAGGGAAAGTGCTTGTGAACATAAAAAACCCACAAAAACATGAGATCCTTTTGCTGTTGGTGGAAGTCTCACATATTCAGTTGATAAAAACTATCATTATGTAGCTGAGAGAGAGGAAGGCCGCACGAGTAACGAGATGTGCGCAAAAAGGAGCCGCTTCGCGGGGAAAGGAGTGGCGCCAACGGAGTAACAACAAACAATTAGACAGATATTGACGGTAAACTTCATATTTTGGAGCGATCCGGACAGATTTATTGTCTCTGCAGTTTAGTAGGCTTTTATTAGGCTTTATTAAAGGATGATGAGAAGGATAAATGTCCACCGGGCAGTTCAGATAGTAGTACGGCTGTTATTTGAACTGGAAGCAGAGGAAGTGGACGGAGACTCACAGCTGGAGTCTGAGGCAAATAGCGAGGATGTTGATGACGATGTGGCAGATCCATCCATCCTCATAGAGGAGTTGGGTCATGATGAGGTAGAGGATGAAGGCAGAGATCCAGCTCCTCGGAGATCCAACAAGAAGAGTGGGCGGCGCAACGCAGCTGTCAGATCTCGGTGTGAGACAGAGCCACTCCCCACTCCAAAATGCATGTACGTTATTGCCAAATTAATAAAATAACTATAAATTTAGATAGTCCAGGTTGTCCTGAAAAAAATGATGCCCCATAAGGCAATATTTATTGTTTTTATTAGAAAATACAAAAGAAAAACCAAAATGAGTCAAAAACAGTGATTTACACCCTGGACCCTGAGGGCTAATAATTTTTTTTAAATTTGTTATTTGCTATATTTAGTCATATTTTTTATAAATGTACAGTCTAGATTACCATTCTAAATTATAAAAAAAAAAAAACATTCGTCATAAATGTATTGGTTTCACAGTAAAATAAACAACTTTTTTTCCAATTCGGATTTTATGATTTTGAGTGATTTAAGGTCTAATATGCAACCCCTTTATGTTCAAATATAAAAAATAAGCATAAATTCATAAAGTCCAGTTTGTGCTGAAAATATTGATCCATATAAGGCAGTGGTTATGGTTTTTATTTTGGAAATACAAGGGAAAACTCTAAATTAGTCAAAAACGGCAAATTACACCCTGGACCCCAGAGGGTTAATCACGTATCAACTATATCAAATCTGAAATACTTCACCTTGGTTTTGTGGCTCTGCTCTGTACTTAGACCAGATCCGGGCGTGTGGAGCTCCTTGGAGACGACGCACAAGAACTCAGCCTGGTCTTCAGTCCCGTAGCTGTAGGACGAGCCGATGTTCACCATCTGAGGAAGAGCAAGATGCAGATCCAGAAAGATGCACAGAGGGCAGAGAGACGTGAGGAAGGATCAGCATTTCCACAGAGGAGAACAGAGGCAGAAACTTACAGGCAAAAGTGGGGATTCAATACGAAAGCAAGAAATTACTTAAGTGCTCATGCAGGGCTGAGCTTAAGGGAGGAGCGGAGTCAAAAGTCTGATGGCTAAACAAGAACACTGTTCAGGCATAAAAACAAACCTGAGCTGCCAGCAGCTGAGCAGCATGCAGAGGAGCTGGGATTTAAAAGTGTGGAACACTGAAAAAACTTTTTAAAAATCTGATTTCTGATTATAATCAGTCAATCTGAGTTTTCCATGCAGGCTGAACATGAAAATAGTCTCCTACACCTATCTCTTGCTATAGATTCTGATAGAAAATAGACTGTGAAACTCTAGGATTTGAAAATCCTGACAGATCTACGTCACACAGTCACTGAACGTTCATGGACTCTCCCATGTTTGCTCACGACGGGGAAGGCTGTTGTTGGTTTAACACCCAGGAAACAGAAGAGAACATCCCAACTAGTAGAATCTAACCGTTAGCATTAGCAACCCCAGCACAGCAGAAATCCTCCAGGCTTGTGCTATTTGTGGAGATAAAACGTTAGTGGTAGAGTCACGTTGCTGTTAGCCAATCAGAGGAGAGATGTATGAATATCAGGAAATGAGACTCCAAAACCTGCCGTCTGAAGCTCAGCTGTGATGTGGCTCATTCTAGTTCCTGAAACTGGCACACCAGAGCTTTGTTTTAAGGCATTCATTTCTACTGGAGACCACTGCAAATGTAACGGTTAAATGAGTCTTCCACACCTTTAAAGCAAGGGGGTGGAGTGGGGGGCCCTGAATATAGGTGTAATCGACACTTAGGTTTAGTTGTGAGGATATTAATAATAATAAAGTAAACTGGATTTGTTGTGAAATAAAGACTTTAAATGATCAGCATAGGAACTAATCTGTGCAGGTTTGATGTTCATGAACGTTTCCCAACAGCAACACATCCTGCTATCCCAGTCCTGACCAGTAGGTGTCACTATGGAGGAAAAAATCAAAGATGTCTACTTTTCTGTACATAGAGGTTTAAATTGCAGCAGAGCTTTTAGTTTTTTCCTTATATTCCTGGTGTGATGAGCCTAAGTAGGAGGCCAGCGTGACGAGACCTGCTTCCTATTCTCAAAAGCCAAGCCACACATGGGTCTCACATCAGAAATACACCTCCAGCTACTGCTACCTGAAGTACAACCCACCACTACTCTGCAACAGAAGTCATTGTTGATCTTGCAATTTCATTGTCATTAAGATTCTTCTCCTTCTTGAACCTTCACCTTATCGTGGTGGAGGAGTTTGAGTGCCCTAATGATCCTAGGAGCTATGTTGTCTGGGGCACTTTGTGCCCCTGGTAGGGTCTCCCATGACAAATTGGTCTTAGGTGAAGGGTGAGACAAAGAACGGTTCACAGGATCTTTCATGGATGTAAATTCAAAGAGTTGGAGTACCCGGCCCGGAGCGTTACCGGGGTCCCACCCTGGAGCCAGACCTGGGGTTGTGGCCCGTGAGCGAGCACATGGTGGCCGGGCTTTCGCCCATGGGGCCCGGTCGGGCCCAGCCCGAACCGGATACATGGGCTCATCCAACTGTGGACCCACCACCCGCAGGAGGAACCTGAAGGGTCCTGTGCAATGTGGATCGGGTGGCAGACCAAGGCGGGAGCATTGGCGGTCCGATCCCCGGACAAGAAAACTGGTTTTTGGGACATGGAACGTCACCTCGCTGGCGGGGAAGGAGCAGGAACTTGTGGCAGAGGTTGAGCGGTACCGGCTAGATATAGTCGGACTCACCTCGACACATAGCACTGGCTCTGGAACCCAAGTCCTTGAGAGGGGTTGGACACTCTCCTTTGCTGGAGTTGCTTCGGGTGAGAGGCGGAGGGATGGGGTTGGCTTTTTGTTAGCCCCAAGACTCTCTGCCTGTGTGTTGGGGTTTACCCCGGGGGACGAGAGGGTAGCTTCCCTGCGCCTACGGGTCGGGGAACGGGTCCTGACTGTTGTTTGTGCTTATGGGTCAAAAATCAGTTCAGAGTACCCACCCTTTTTGGAGTCCCTGGGATGACTGCTAGATAGTGCTCCATCAGGGGACTCCATTGTCCTGCTGGGGAACTTCAATGCTCACGTGGGCAATGACAGCTTGACCTGGAGGGGTGTGACTGGGAGGAACGGCCCGCCTGATCTGAACTCAAGTGGTGTTTCGTTATTGGACTTCTGTGCAAGCCACAGTTTGGCCATAACGAACACCCTGTTCGAACATAAGGATGCCCATCGGTACACTTGGTACCAGGGCAGCCTAGGTCGCAGGTCGATGATAGACTTTGTAGTTGTATCATCTGAACTGCGGCCGTATGTTTTGGACACCCGAGTGAAGAGAGGAGCGGAGCTGTCAACTGATCACCACCTGATGGTGAGTTGGATCAGATGGGAGGGGAAGATGTCGCGTAGACCTGACAGACCCAAACGCATAGTGAGAGTCTGCTGGGAACGCCTGCCAGAAGAACCTGTCAACATGGTCTTCAACTCCCACCTCCGACAGAGCTTTGACCGCGTTCCGAGAGCAGTGGGGGACATTGACTCCGAGTGGGCCTTGTTCTACTCTGCGATTGTTGAGGCGGCTGTTGCTAGCTGTGGTCGCAAGGTGGCTGGTGCCAGTCGTGGTGGCAACCCCCGTACCCGCTGGTGGACGCCAGAGGTTCGGGGAGCCGTCAGGCTGAAGAAGGAGGCCTACAGGGCATGGCTGGTCTGTGGGTCTCCAGAGGCAGCAGACAGGTACTGGATAGCCAAGCAGGATGCAGCAGTGGCAGTTGCCGAGGCAAAATCTCGGGCGTGGGAGGAGTTTGGTGAGGCCATGGAGAAAGACTATCGATCGGCTTCAAAGAGGTTCTGGCAAACTGTCCGGCTCCTCAGGAGAGGAAGGCAGCAACTCACTCACACTGTTTACAGTGGGGATGGGGAGCTGCTGACGTCAACAGGGGCTATAGTCGGACGGTGGAAAGAATACTTTGAGGAGCTCCTCAATCCCACCTATGCACATTCCGAGGAGGAACCAGAGCCGGGAGACCTGGGGATGGACTGTCCAATCTTGGGGGCAGAAGTTTCTGAGGTTGTCAAACAACTACACAGCGGCGGAGCCCCGGGGGCGGATGAGGTTTGTCCTGGGTATCTCAAGGCTATGAATGTTGTAGGGCTGTCATGGTTGACACGTCTCTGCAACATTGCATGGTCATCGGGGGCAGTTCCTGTGGAGTGGCAGACTGGGGTAGTGGCCCCCATTTTTAAGAAGGGTGACCTGAGGGTGTGTTCCAACTATAGGGGGATCACACTCCTCAGCCTCCCTGGAAAGGTCTACTCCAAGGTACTGGAGAGGAGGGTCCGATCGATAGTTGAATCTCAGATTGAGGAGCGATGTGGTTTTTGTCCTGGCCGTGGAACTGTGGACCAGCTCTATACCCTTGCAAGGGTGATGAGGGGGCATGGGACTTTGCCCAAAACAATCCACGTGTTTTGTGGATTTGGAGAAGGCTTATGACCGTGTCCCCAGGGGCACCCTGTGGGGGACGCTCCAGGAGTATGGGGTGGGTGGCTTTCTGTTAAAGGCCATTCAGTCCCTTTACCAGAGGAGTGTGAGTTTGGTACGCATAGCTGGGAGTAAGTCGGACCTGTTCCCGGTGAGGGTTGGACTCCACCAGGGCTGCCCTTTGTCACCGGTTCTGTTCATTACCTTTATGGACAGAATTTCTAGGTGCAGCAGTGGTGTGGAGTGTGTCGAGTTTGGTGGCAGGAGAATCTCGTCTCTGCTTTTTGCGGATGATGTGGTCCTCCTAGCTTCATCCAGCTCTGACCTTCAGCTCTTGCTGGGTAGGTTCGCGGCCGAGTGTGAAGCGGCTGGGATGAGGATCAGCACCTCCAAATCTGAGACCATGGTTCTCGACCGGAAAAAGGTGGCTTGCCAACTCCGGGTCGGGGGAGAGGTCCTACCTCAAGTGGAGGAGTTTAAGTATCTCGGGGTCTTGTTCGCGAGTGAGGGTAGGAGGGATCGGGAGATCGACAGGCGGATTGGTTCGGCATCTGCAGTTATGCGGACGCTGAGCCAGAAAGCCAGGCTCTCGATTTACCGGTGGATCTACGTCCCAATCCTCACCTATGGTCATGAGCTTTGGGTAATGACCGAAAGAACGAGATCGCGGATACAAGCGGCCGAAATGAGTTTCCTCCATAGGGTGGCTGGGCTCAGCCTTAGAGATAGGGTGAGGAGCTCGGACATTCGGAAGGGACTCAGAGTAGAACCGCTGCTCCTCCGGATTGAAAGGAGCCAGTTGAGGTGGTTTGGGCATCTGGTCAGGATGCCTCCTGGACGCCTCCCCGGGAAGTGTTTCGGGCATGTCCTGCCGGCAAGAGGCCCCCGGGTCGACCCAGGACACGTTGGAGAGGTTACATCTCCAATCTGGTCCGGGAACGCCTTGGGGTCCTGTCGGAGGAGCTGGTGGAGAAGGCCGGGGAGAGGACAGTCTGGAGCTCCCTAGTTGGGATGCTGCCCCCACGACCCGGACCTGGATAAGCGGAGGAAGACGACGACGATTAAGATTCTTGGTTTATACATTTGTTCCATGATGAATTGTATGAAAAAATAATCCCGTTGCATCTTTAATAGCATATTCTAACATTGACATCACCATGTATGTGCTGCTGGGTGCTAGACAAACTGCATTAACCAGTTGAAAACACCCAAACAGAGCGCTTGGACATTGATAAAAACAACTCAACAGACATCATATTCAAATGTTTATACTCAGCTACTCAATACTCAGAGTGCTCTAGTAACATTTTCTCTGTTTGTGTTTTTACTCTTAGGTTATTATTTGTGTTGCTACTTTTTAGACCACTAACCCTAACATCTGGTCAGAAGCCTTTTTCGTCCTCGTCTGAATGCTGTTTGGCCGACACATTCAGCTGGACCTTTTCATTTACACCACTGCCTCCTGCCTAATCGGCCCATTATTCTCAGGTGTAGGACCTTCCCCTCTGGAAAAAGTAATGGAACAAATATACATGCACCCCTTGATCTGCTCCACACATAGAAAATCTGCTCTTCTACATAAAAACTGTCACCCCTTTGCTCTTTCTGTCTTTAGCTTGACCTGTTTCCCTTTCCAGTTGTTTCATGTGGTCGTGGACCTTACCCAGCTTTGGAAGAATTATAAGAAATACGTCCCCCCAACATTTAATCTGGGCATCTTGAGTCAGAATAGCACCTCCTCCCATTGTTCCCGTTTGAACATCTTTGAGAATATGGCAAGCCGTTTTAACATTTAGGAGACAGTAATGCTACTTTTGTAATGTGGATTGAGTCAAATCCATAGGTACCCATGCAAATACACACTTGCTGGTCTAGAGCTACATCCCACAATGCATTGTGACGTTACGTCACAATCTATTTTTAGTTACTGTAAAATACGCTATTAGAAAATTAAGTTAAAACTACTTTAGAAACAATTTGAACCAAGTACTAAAGCTATGGTTCAAGCCTTTCTAGGTAGACGGTAGCCTTAATGTCATTAAAGTGAAACCCAACATCACAGCATTAGCATCATGCTAGCACGGCGTGATACGGTTTAAGAGCGTCGTGCCAGGACAGCAGTGGTGTGTGTGGCTGAAACACTGAGGGAACTTGTGATGACAATCTTATAGAACAATCTATGACAAAATATTATTTAGGAGTAACAGCGTCATGAATACCTTCTTGGGGGAGGTTTTATTTATTTGTCATGGGGGAGGTTTTATTTATTTGTCAAGATCCCAGTAAGAAGCGGTAGATGGTTTAAGATATGGAGGTCGTAACCACGTGGAGCAAACCAATACCTTCCTGCTGCATGTTCCTTCTGACATGGCATCGTTCATTTTCTCCCTCATACCAGGACTTCTTTTAACGCTGTTTTTTCTTAAAAATTTCAACAAACCACACACCATCTTCATTTTGCTGCAGGTGAAACATTTCTGTCACTAGAAATGGAACTGGGCCTACCTAAGTTAAATCTCACAACAGTAATGTGCTGCTTAAGGTTCTGTCTGTTGTTTTATATTATTTTGGGAGAGAAGAGGGCAGGAATCGGGTCGGGGCTGGGGGGTCAGACCAGGGGTCAAAACTGAAGGGGTCAGCAGCAGCGTGAGTCCAACCCACAGTCCAGAGCAGTCCGGTGCGGGGCTTTCTGCAGGCTCGCACGCTGACCTGCTCAAACTTCCAGCCGTCTGACATCGTGGAGACCATCTGGGTCAGCTCCTCCTCCTGGCACTGCAGCACCCGGTACACGTGTTTGGGGGGCACCTGCTGGGGGGAGGACAGGAGAGAGTTAAACACCAAGTGGAGGACATGTTTTATCTCCATTCATCCCAAAGAGACTAAGAGCGGCGAGTTCAGTTAATCACAGGAGAGGCGGATGTACGTTTGAGAGGGCACAGGGAGTGGATAAGAGTGGGTGGAAAAGGAAAATACATAACATTCCTAATGAAAAACTCTGAGAATCACAGTGTTGATGACAAAAAAAACAAGATTTTTAATCAATCAATGAATGAATCAATCAATCAATACTTTATTAATCCCAGAGGGAAATTAGAGTTTCAGTACACAAAATTCAAAGAATTGGTGACTGTGGCCATTTGCAACCCGAGTCGCACTACTTTCACACCTTTCACCTGTCAAGGTGAGTTTTAAAGCTTTTCCAGAACCTCACAGTGGTGATGAGGAGCAGTACTTATGAGTGGCGATGCACCGATAAAACATTTTTGGGCCAATACCGTCCGGGGGGTGGGGGGGCTCAGTACCGCAGCGCTCCTCCGTGAGAGCGGGGGGTGGGGGGGTGGGGTCGCACACGGGCTTTAGTTTTGTGGTGCCGTTCGCGTCAGCGGACACGGTAGGGTCGGGGAGGGGGGCGGGGCATGACGCTTAGCCTGGCGGGTGGCTGGGGGAAACCCAGAATATCACTGTAATGGGCGATAATCGATATACTGACATTAACGCTTCTAAAATCAGCAGATTTTGTAAACAATGAAAATGATTAAAGCTGAATTTACGTTATTATGTACACACACATACATACACCACACACATTTACACTTCTGAGATGATTACAATCACTGTCACATAACTAAACAAACATAAACAAATAGAAACAGGTTAAAACTCAAGCATTTTTAAGCATCCATAAAAACCCTGAAAATGTTACTTCTGGTATTTTTGCAGATGCAGATAAAGAAACAGGAACAAATATTAGCAAGCTTCTAGAAAAAAGGGACCACATTTCCTTTTATAAAACTGTTGCTCTGGAATATGTTAAATATCAGAGCAAACATCTCTGTTTGCACCTTCAAAGTAAAATATGAAGAACTGATTGTCGGGTTGTGAATTTACCTGTGTGGCTTTAGAGTCCCGCTCGATGATCCTCTCCTTTATCAGTTTGATAAGCGGGGTGATGTTGTAAAACTCAGCTTCTTCTAGGACTCCTTAAAACAAACAAACAACTTAGCTGCTGTCTGACACTCCAACACATAGATTGACAGCTTTATCTTACTTTATTATTTAAACTAGGACTTCTAGTTCTTACCTCCTGACAAGTTTTTTTTTTCCCTATAATGCTGTCAGCTTCTTAAAGATGTATTCATGGCTTTGGGTACCTGGGTCTCCTCTCTGTAGCCAGACCCTTTGGCCAAACACACATTTCCTCTACATAAACATTACTTTGATCAGTGTTGTAAGCGAAACACCAGAAGGCATTGAGCACACGCCAGTTACGGTAAACTAGAGGTGACCAATCCTGGTCCTCTAGGGCCATTGTCCTGCACATTTTAGAAGTTCCTCTGCTCAAACACACCTGGTTTTAATCACTGGTGACTAACAGGCTTCTACCCTGCTGAACAGGTGATTCAGCCATTGAATCGGGTGTGTTTGAGCAGGAAACAACTAAAACCTGATGGATAGTGGATCTCAGGGACTAAAATGTAGATGAAGAAGATACAAGTTCACTGGGGTCGTTCATATGACTTTACTGAAAACATGACAACTGTTTATAAAATAATAAAGTGATGAATATTTCTGCTGCTGTCCATCCAGTCCAAATACCTTTGCAGACCTATAAATTGTGAGATCCTGGTTGATGTACCTACTAAATTCTTCTGAATCTACTTCTTGATTTATAAGTTTTTCACATTCCACATTGTAAACCCAAAGTTGTTAACATGTGTTAGTTTTATCAACAGTTTTGATTCCAACTGAATAAATGAAAGCCTAGGGCCTGAACCCATCTGAGGAGTGTAAAAGCCTTTGACACCTTCCTCTGCCAGTTCTTTGTTGAACACCAGTTTGCCGTGTCTCAAGTAGTTGAGGATGGGCCCAAAGTAGGTGGGGTCTCTGTCAATCACGTAGGCTCCAGATTCATCCTGTAACACACAAGAGATGACAGAAAAAACATTAAAGAGTAAGTAGGTAGTTTTGGCTTGCTTTTAGCACCCCCCAGTGTTCATTATTAGAACCAAAGGAATAACTTCTCTCCTCGCTGTGCGTTCCGTCTTTTTAACACCTTAATACAACAGCTGAAATGCTTTCCAGCTTTCATTAGTGTCTACAGCAGTGATTCATCACTACATTAAAAAAATCAGCTGTGTTCTTGATCTAAAACCTGCTGGAAACATGCTGGAACCAGACAGGTTTGTCAGCTCAACAGAGCAGCCAGTGCGGTATTCTGGCCACAGGAGGCGATAAAGGCTGAGTGGCTTTTCATTAACCCTGCAAAGGATCATTTCAGCACATACTGGCTCAAAAAATTATTAAAAAATATGATATGCAAAGTATCCCTTTAACTCATTCACTGCCAGCCGTTTCCTGAACGGTAAAGCCCTTCATTGCCAGCGTTTCTCGCCGTTTTTACTGTTTAAGAGTCACAGAACGTTGCGCGCTAGGATTATGTCGACGCCAAAACAACCAAAACAAAGCGGAGACTCACCTCTTACATCAGGAAGAATCCACCCATTTCGAGCTTTATCCGTTCTTTCATAATGCGTTGTCGAACTGTGATCGGCAGACGCTTTTCCAGTTAGCGCCTCACTTTGTTTTACTGCAGCGGCCCAAAACGATCTCCTAACACTTGGATGTTCTGCTTCCTGATCATGTGACGTGTGACATATGCGGATGAGGATCGGCTTCAGAGTTGAGATGTTTGTTCTCTCGGCGCGGGAGCTCGTTCCGACGCCCACACAGTAAAAAAAAGTCGTCAGAGGCAGTGAATGAGTTAAGGACATTATAGGATTATATAAATAAGCATATTTTATAGAAACTAGGTTAACAATGGCTACAGCAACACTTTATTAAAATATCATGTAGCTAGGGGGACAGGGCAATATGGAAACAAATCCTATAACAATATTAATTTCATATCAGTCATTAAATATGTATCACAATGTTAAACAAACAACTATTTTCATTGATCTTTAGCGTTCTGTATTACTTTTAAGTAAGATCTGAAGATTATTGATTTATAGATTTATTTTCAACAGCTGAACATATCATGAAACGTTACATAACTGTTTTGATTAATGAAAGTTTTTTTTAACTAAAACCTTCAAGCATTACAGAACAGAACTCAAAATGGTAAATGGCCTGTATTTGATATAGGGTTGGTCTTATTTTCACACAAAAACTAAAATAACGTTTCCCCCAATTCAAAAGGAAGTGCTTTCTTGGTATCAAAAGGTGTCTTAAAAATTCACGGATATCATTTGTGAAATCCATGGCACATAACAAGCGAATTAGAAAATAGCGTTTTTAGCCCCATTGACTTGCATTCATTTTTCGTTCTTCCAGGGACCCATGGTGCAGAAGTAGATGGGCGTGACTTAGGCTTCCTATATGCGACCAAACATCATCTTCTGAATATTTTCATTCTGCTAATTTACAGATGGTGTATATATCTTTTTATATGTTGTTACTTTTTTTCAATTGCAACATGCACACACAACACACACACATAGGCTACATACACATACCAGTAAGCTAATGAGAACGCACTGAAACACAACCCAACTCCTCCTGCGACTTACAAGTGATAATGAAGCCAGCAGGTTGCCCTTGAGGCTAACAACAAAACACTAATCAGTCATCCTAGATGGCGGTGAGGTAGCATAATGAATCATAAAGGGAAGTGAACAAGGAGTGACCAGTAGAGTGGGGGACGGGTGCAGGGAGGGTCCTAGTTTGGAAGATGCTCTCTGAAGAGCTGGGTCTTCAGGAGTTTCTTGCAAATCAACAAGGATGCCCCTGTTCTGGTAGTGCTTGGTCCACATCTGTGGAATGACACATGAAGAGTCTGGATTGTCCTGAGCGTGGTGTAGGCACTGCAAGCCGATGATCCTTTGACGACCGTAGCAGCCGAGCCGTGATGTAAGCCTTTACAAGAGGATTCAGGTAGATGGGAGCCGTACCATCCAGGACTTTGTATGCTACTGTTAGCAATTTGAATTGGATTTGTGCAGCTAGTGGCTGCCAATGGAGCTCAGTGAACAGAGGGGTGACGCGCTCTTTTGGGCTGATTGAAGACCGAACGCGCTGCTGCATTCTGGACCACGAAGAAGTTACGGATACGGATCCAAACAGTTTATAATGCCGATTTTGTCCATGGACCGGTCCCTGATGTCTTTATGTAACATATCCCTGTATATTCTGCGTAATTTGGGGGATTTTAACATGTTTTTAAACACTTCCTTTGACCCAAATCTGCTTCTTCTCTGAGACATGCTTTTTGTTTTCATGGTTTGTTTACACTCGTAAGGCCATCAACATGTCTGCGCACATCCTAGAATGCTACGCATTATCATGTGTAATCCCAAGCCCTATACTCAGACTTTCTAATTTTTAAAAGATTTTCAGGTCGTTTTTGCAAAAACAACTTAACCCTTTGATGCATGAATGATGAAATCTTCAACCATGATTTTTTTTAACATTTTTTTTCATTCATCTTTAGGTGTGAATGAAACAAATTTCATATTTACATATTTTTTGTAAAATGTAATTTACAAATAATTTATTACATGTCCACCTCAGTGTACAGTGTGCAATCTGAACATGAAATATGTTGGCTTGACTTACTGAAGTACAAATGGAGGGGTTCAAATGCAATAAAGTCTTCAACAGCTGTGCTTAATAGCAAAAATAAATAAATAACAATTTTAAGTATCTGTCCACTGTAGTGACCATTATGCATCAAAGGGTTAAGAATTGCAATACATTAAACTCCTTTCCTTGACTCAGAGATCCTGGTTTAACGTACTGTGCTGAAACTGGACAACATTCAAATGAGCTGGCTTGTGGCCACTACCAGCCGACTCATGTAAACAGGTCTCTGTAACCACAGTACTGATTAAGACCCTTAAAAAAACACTCAAACTTATGAAGGCGGTATAGTGGGCCTGTCTTATCGTCACTGTTTATCCCTCCTCAGTATACTGGCACCAGGCCTATAAAGAGGTAGAAAGGAAGGAGATCTTAATTCTAGCTGTTACTACAAAACCTCCAACTTCAGTCTTTTCTTCTAGTGCTGGATAAAATAACCACCGTCTCCACACTTTGAGCCGGTGCTGTTCTTTGCATCCATTGGAATGTTTGAAGAACATCAGACACAGACTTAAAAATAGCTGGAAAAGCATTCCTTGACTGGCTGGAATGTACCTTTATGGTTTATATCCTTCTAACCAAAAAAGTAAGCACCAGACTTTGCCAATTAATCAAACCAATCTGAAGTGACAGAAGGAGTGCCAAAACAAATACGACAAACAAGTGGACATATCAGCAAGTTCAGGAGCAAATACAATGATCGATGGTGTGCTGCCAGCACAGTTTTCACAAAATCCATTCAGGAATCTGGGGAAGCTTCACCTGGAATTGCCTGAGGCTGGAGTCAGAGCATCAAGAGCCACACGCACGCACACACACGCGCACACACACACACACACACACACACACACACACACACACACACACACACACACACACGCGCACACACACACACACACACACACACACACACACACACCAATCCTACAAATGTGTTGATGTATCAAGCCACTCTTGAACCAGAGACATCAGAAGTGTCTCATCTCAGCCAAAGAAACTAAGAATTGGATAGTTGCTCAGTGGTCTAAGTCCTCTTTTCAGATAAAAACAAAGTCTGTGTAATTTGAAGTTTATGGTAATCAGAGTCTGGGCGAAAAGAGGAGAGGAACAGAATCCATGTTGCTTTAAGTTCAGAGTGAAGTTTCCACAGTCAGAGTGGGTTTGGAGCTCTTTATGTTCAGCTGATGTTGGTCCACTAAAGTCCACAGTACCAGGACCATTTAAGGCTCTTCATGTTTCCTTCTGCTGACGAGCTTTATGGAGATGCTGATTTAATGTACCACACTGCCAAAGGTACCAAAAGCTGGTTCCATGACCCTGGTGTTACTGGGCTGTATTGGTTAGTAAACTGGCCTAATATATTTTGCTCTGTATAACGAATCTATAGGAGTTTCACCCATATATCTACATTACATTAGTAAAGTATTTCTACATGTACCTGTATAATTTAATATTTATTATAAAACATTATAATTGGTATTTGCATTTCTGTTTATAAAAACAAATAAATCATGTTATTCATTTATTCTATAAAGTTTAAACACACTGCTGAAGGTTATACTGGCCTTGTCAGCAGTAAATGACCGTATACCTGAAAATAAAGCCAGAATGACATCAGCCAAAATGCTAAGTAACACCAGCGTGTCCTCCTAGACAGGAAGTTTGATGATATGATGTTGAGGGACAGTGTATGACAGAATAGCAGCCGGATAGAAGCATGTCAGAAAATCAAGTAAAATGTAAAAACTGTGTGTGTGAGCGTTTAGAGGGTGGCAGAGATGTGACTGCAGCACAGCACTGAGACAGAGCCAAAATGCACACACTTTCACACACACAATCCAAAGTGAGCAAAGCTGCAGCGGAAACCCAACAGACGTCTCATCAACGTGACTTGACTTGACAGTGTGGGCATGACAACACCAGTAGAAGCCTCCTGAAAATGTCATTGCCACAGTTTCCTTGTGTCACACAAACACGCACACACACACATGCACAAATGCACACACACACACACGCATCCACACAGACACACAAGCATGCACACAAACACACCCACACACGTACAAGGCACGCGCACACATACAAACACACACACACATGCACAAATGCACACACACGCATCCACACTGACACACATGCATGCACGGATGCACACAAACACACCCACACACGTACATGCACACATACGCACGCCTACACACGTACAAACAAACACACATGCTCGCACACATACACACAAGCATGCACGCATGCACACAAACACACACACACACAC